CATATTCATATTATGTTTCTGTTTTTTCAAATCTGCTAATTCTTTCCTAAGTTCCTGAATTTCGGTGTTTTTATCTTGCAACGCTTTTTCATTTGACGTCCTCAATTTGACAAACTCCTCTTGCAGATTCTTTATAATACTTTTAAGTTCAGATAATTGCTACATAGGATTCCTTCACAATCTTCACAAAAGAATTTGAGTTTGCGGGTATCTTGTAACAATTGCAGACATCTAACTTCAGTGGAAGTCACATTTGCACAAGATATATGTCTCCATTTTTTGCACCCATCACACTTAAATGAGGACTTATCCTCCATTAACTCCTTTTTACATTTAGTACACGTTGACATTGTAAAGAACCAATCTCAGACCCCTGGTACCTCAGAAACAGCACGCCACTGGATACCAGTTTTATTCTTATCGTTTTTGTTTTGTATAGATAAGGTTTTTTAGTGTTTTGCGATCCTTTATTCTGTTGTTAATAATCAAAAATACATTTTCAGATGCATTTAATCAACTTGAATTGTATATCTCTACATAGCTTGCATTTTACGGAATTATTAGGTATAATTTTCACAAAAACTAGTTTAATGTTACCACTAATAGACTGAAAAATGTCTGTATCGTGAATATTTGCTTTCAACCTGTTCACGTTCACGACTTTTTGAAAAAAAATCGACTTACGAGGTTTGAGAATGTTGTCGACGATATATAATTTTAAGTGAATGTTACTGTATAGAAAATAAAACTTCGATGTTATTAAATATATGGTTTATTTACGTCAGAAATATCTATTGTATATACAAAAAAAATTAAGGTGTATATTAGTGGTTTTTAACTAATTATACAAAAAGGGATAAAATACCTACACGAAAACGAATCGACAATACTAAATTTGCTGACAATATATGAAATAATTTAAATCGTTAAAAAAAAGTATACTATTTTACAAAAACAAATAAAATTACGACTCGCGTAGATGATTCGAAATCGAAATTAAAAAAATATATATTGGAATATATAATACGATGTGAATAAAAAATAAATGAAAAATCATCTACGATCTTAAAACGCTTAAAAAACCAGACGACGCGAGATTCTTTACTGTAAATCTATCTTATAAATACCTCTTATAATATCAAACACACAATTTTGGAATTTAAATTAGAAAAATAAGATCGAGAAAAAGTTCGTTATTACTGATACTGAAAACTTTGTTCCGCAAAATTCTACACAATTTTAATTATTCACAGAATTCGATCTATAATTACAGGACCCGCCCATCTAGGTTACATTATACAAAGGACCCAGGCAGCCGGGCTAATCCAGAAATGTGTTTTGGGGAATTTCCAGAATTTTTGATATGTTGTAGTTGCACAACTAATTTTTGATATAGAGGGCGTTGAAGTTGCAAATTGGCCATTTTCTAAAAGGCCGTAATACTTTGGTACACAAGAATAGTGACACAACTCAATAACAAATTTTCGAGGGCATCTATTTTAAAATGTTTGTTTCCTGTAATTTTAAAAATGATTAAATCTTGAAAATAAACAGTGTTCACCTTGTATTCAAACAATAACAAGTTTGCTTTGATAATATTAAAAAAAAAAACTAAAATATATTTTCATCCCTCTTGAGTTATGTCGATCTATCAGAAAAATTTCACACCATTATTAATAATAACCTTTTCAACAATAATGTCCTAATTTGACTTGTACCATTCTTGAAAATAATGTTCTTGGTTCATTTTTAATAAAACTGGCATATTTTGATTTATGTCACTCTAGCCTAAAATTGACAAAGATCGTCAATTTTAGGCTACTTACATTACATTTTGTCTCATTGGCTGTCGGAACATAACTAGATTTGTGGCACTCTTCATCGTTATAAATTCGCGACTTTGGTTTTTGGAAGTAGCAATATGTCGTTTTTTCACATAAAAATATAAGGATTTTCATTTCATTTTTACACTAAGCTCGAAAATAGAATTTTTTTTTTGGTCCTTAATTTTACAAAATTAAACAACAAATCATCAAATTTTATTTTAAAAGAATGTTTCAATATGTATTCATAGTACTTGTATATTGTATTCACTTATAAACTATATTTAACGGTTATAATAAAAATTTGAATCCTGAAGAAGCAACTGAACTATTCCAGTCTGTGTACATTACAATTTTTGGGATGTCCATGGGTTTGGGTGAAGGTTTTTTGTAATAGGGTCAAAAAGTAGAAATAAAAAAAAGGACAATCAGCAAGAAACTGAAATCAAGAGAGATAGAGCTACACTCCAATTTAAATAATTGAAATTGATTCCAAAGGTGTCAACTGATTATAGGGGTTATGATGGACAAGTAATGTTATTTTTAACAGACATGTTATTTGTGAACAGCTTGTTATTTCTGTGTGTTTATAAAATAACAGACCTGTTAAAAATAACACAGATTGTCAATCATAACCCCCTAAGTAAGTAGTGTGTTGTCGTCATGTCAAGTAGTTTCTTTGTTTGGTGTCAAGACTTATTTTTATTAATAAAATTGAAAATTTTGATATTAAACGACGTAGAACGAGATAAATTTATAAAAATTTCGTACGTCCATGGTGTTCCATCCACTTTCCAGGACTTGAAAAACATTTTCTAGGAGCATCATTAACTATAATTTAAAAGTATGGATATCAAATATTTTCGCAATAAAGTCTAGTTTATTAAAAAACTATAAAATACATGCAACATTTGCACTAAAAACTCTACTTAGAGTGATTAAGTTAATATTTCATATCTGTTATTACCAATTTTTATATCTCATATCTCAAAAACTGGACATTAAAAAATTAAAATATAGGGTGAGAAAGAAAAAACATTTTCTTACATATGTTTTGAATCGTATTGTGTATGATTTATAAACTATTAATACGAATATTTCTGGTGGATAGTATTGTAAGCAATGAATTTTTTTTATTTGTCAAAATGACGTTTATCAATACTAGGCTGGTTAAGTTACTGAACTTCAAACCATTACAAATTATTTTCAAAACTAATTAATCTTTTCTAAAACCAGCGATGCACATACCGCGGCCCACTGTCGATATTTATGCGACCTGCCAACGAATTTTAAAAATAAAAATTACAAAAGTACTTACCACTTTTTTGTTCAGGTTTACTATGAATATTGTTATAATTCTGTGCATCCCTAGCTTAAACTTTCATCCCTCTGACAATCTAAATCTAAAGATTCCAATCCAAACTGTTATTTCTTTTCATAAACTCTATGATTTTTATTTTACAAATGTCAAAAATTCTCATTACATACAATTTTGTCTCCCAGAAATATTCATACCCATAAAATTTTATTAACAACAGTAAAAAGGGGGTGGGTGGCTCAGTGGTAGTCTTTGCGTGCGGATTCAAGGGTCCCAGGTTCGAATCCCACCGTTGGCCGGGATTTTTTAATTTAATTTAAGTATTTAAAATTAATTCTGATGCTTTGGTAGGATTCCCCACTCTCGACCATTCACTGTTGGGTTCTAATTAACAGTGCTGTTCCTAAAGTGGCACTGGGAAACTGTAACAAAGCCCACACAGAACACGAGGCGAGATGGCCTTAGCAGTTGAAGCAGATGACAAAAAAAAACAATAGCAAACAGCCTACCAATTTTTTGACTTGCCCCGTATAAAATGTGATAGTTTCTAATTTTGATTACATAAATTGAGGCTATTTCAGCGTGAATATTGCCATGCTAAAGAAACAATAAAAATTATATTTTAGTAATTTTTAACTAGTCCTGTAACTAATAATTTACGTCATACTTAAAATATTCTTTGATAGTAAATGATTATTTTTGGAAAACATCTATAATCAGTAGTGATGGGTCGCTTGGAAAAGTTCACAGACAAGTCTGAAAAGTTGACTAGCTCACACTTTTCAAAAGTGGAAAATTGTATTGCGCATGGGCGAAATTAAATGAACCAATTTGTCTGAATTTCTTACAAAGGCAAAATAAAGTTTAAAAAAGAAGAAACGGCAAATGATTACTGACGTCTATATGTTTTAACGATGTTTTCGAATGTTCTTATTATTTTATTAAAATAAAATCGTGAAAAAATGATCAAAAAATCCAAAGGTTTGAAATATTTTGCAAAAAAAAAAACGAAAATAAAAATGCAAATATTAGTCCCAGTATGTTTTTGAGAAAAACATGCAGGTTGGAGATTTAACTATGTATCTTGTATGCGCAAGGCAGACTACTTTTCACTGTAACTTTTCTTTACTTTTCACTATTTTTCCGGACATGTCCAAAAATTACTTTTCATGAAAAATCTCATCACTAATAATCAGTTTTTGTTAAGAAGCATGTCTTTTTTTAAAAAATGGCTAATTTGCAACTTCATAGGATTGAGTTGTACCTATGAACACTATTGTTGAATAAGTCGACAACTGCAATATACCAAAAGTTCTGTATAAACTGGCTACCTGGTCATTTGCTAGATACCTGGCAACTGCTTAAAAATGAACTGTTTACACTAATAGTCATCAATGAAGCATTTTATTCCATAAGCCTCAAATAGAAAACCGATTCTTACTACTATATGCATTATTTTAAAATAATGTGTAAAAACAGGTTTGTCTGTCAAATGGAACCTTACATATGATGATAATAAAGATATTATCGTTACATGTAAGGTTCTATTTGACAGATTAACCTGTTTGAATAACATGATTAAACATACATTGTTGGTGCGATTAAATATAGTTTTAAAAAATGTAACAATTGAAACCTACTACCCTGAAATTCTCCCTTTTGTTTAATGAATAAGGTATCCTAAATGTGTTACACATTTTTGGCGCCCAACATGAGGCGCAAAAATCTGTAACTTCTGAATTTTGTCAATGCTCTAAATAGCACAGCCATTTGAAATTTTAAAAGAAAAGAACAACCTTTTTAATTTAATTTCAGATCACTAAGAAAGACATGATCCAAATGAAAAAATAATAAAGTTGCTCCTATTCTTGAGGGTTACAAAGATTTTACATTTTTTTGCTTCAATGACTTATAATAACGTCAAAAAATGTGTAAAATTTTAACAGAACAGACTATAATGCAATTGAATTTAAGATGCTTTAATTGTGGGCACTGCTATTAAAAGTCAACGACGCGCCATTTTCTAATAAAAATAAACTATCACAAACTTACAAAATTCACAATAGAATCCCGAGCGTCCCGACACTCACACTGAGACGCCTTCTTCTTCATCATCGGAGAGATTGTCTACTGTAAATCTTTCTATATTTTTTTAAACCTTATCATAACTTAAGCCCAAGTTGGTGATTTTAGTTTCGAGCCAAAAAAGCTCCTTTGTAAAACAAATATAAATAATTATCTACCAGTGCCCCCACGGAGTGTCTTAAATGTTAAGACGTTGTTCGCGACATGCTAGTAATCGGCATTTGAGGCGGGAAATTATTCTGGATGACTATAATAGATGTGCGAACTGTATTCAGCCTCTGTGCCGAAGCGTTTCTTGCAGAACGGACACGGCAATCGAGACCCTTCGCACTGGTTCTTCTTGTGGAAATATAGATGAGATTTATTGGCGAAGGCTTCCCAACAGGACGAACATTTGTAAGTCCTACAACAGACAAAAAATTTATTATTTAAAAAAATTCTACAAGAATGAAGTATGGCTGGTTTTTGATTCATTTCGTTATTTTGAAAGAATAACTATCCAATAAAGTTATGGGTCTAATAAGCAACAAAGCATTTCTGAGAAATTATAGATAACTCCCCTTTATTGTAACTAGATTTAAAGTATGTCCACTAGATGGACATTTTAACTCATACATAATTTCCAACAAGAACATGACCAACAACGTCTATTTCCTCATTGAAAGAATTAGAGAAGTTTCAATAAATATTTTCCTGGTTTTTGAAAACAATATTATTAACCTATATTATCTGAAAAGTTAATTAGGATCTGATTACTGCACATGCGCCAGATACTTATTGAACATATCCTACCCCTTAAGATATCAAGATATTTTTTCAATATCTTATAAACAAAATTTTCTCTAGTTTATTAGACACATACCTATCGTTTCAGAAACCTGCCATTAGAAATCCCCATTTTCACATTTTTTACAGAAAATAAACCAGTGAAATTGTTGTAATTTTACGAAGTTGTCTTTTGTACCACGTCATGTTAGAGACGTTTTAGTTTAATCTTGTATTTTTTTTTAATTTTAATGGTAAGATGACTGCAAAAAACTAGTACATAGAATCGAAGAGGTAGAGCAAGTTGAAGTCACAAGCCATGTCTATTTAAAAGTTAAATAATAGTAAATATTAAGTAAAATTCACAGCTATTGAAATTTCGTTAAATTCACATACCTGTCAGGATCTGGTAGGGCGACACCCATCGGCATCGGTCCCTGGCTAGTGGTAGCGGTAACTGGCTGAAGTTTTTCAGGCGACTTTTTGATCGACAAATTCGGATTACTCTGCACGATCTTCATAACGTTCGCATTGATCATGGGCCTCTGTTTGGGATTCTTGCTAATAGGCGTAATACTAACGGCGCCCTCGCCCAACGTCGCCGGAAAGCTGCCCTGCTGCTCCTGTTCGTGAATCTCGACCATCGGCTCCATCGTTGCCATATCCATTGGCTCCTGCTTGATCATAGCCTCCATCATGGGCTGGGTGGGATACTGAGGTGGCATCGGCGGTGGTTGGCGGTAGTTGAGTTGATTGTTGGGATGCATTTGCGGGCCTGGGAAGCGTGGTCGGCTCATGAAGGGAGGTTGCTGCGGTTGTCCCTGAGTTTCGCCCTTATGGATGCGCATGTGACTATTTCTAGAGTAAATGGTGGGGAAGGGGGTGTTGCAGATGAAGCACACGAAGCTGGTTTGCTGCGAAGAAGGCTTCGTATCTTTCAGAATGTGATCCGGAAGGTATACCTAATACAATTTTTAAATCTTTATTGATAATCAGGTAACAAAAAATATTTATATAAAACATTTTTGGAAATATGTTCTATTCTAATAGTAAAAATAAACATACCTACCAATAAAAGCTACAATAACAAATTCTGACTTTGAAATCCTGATGTATTTTTTTTTTGTTTACTATGTTTTTTATAATTAGTTGTGGTTCGAATTTTTAGTGGTAATATAATAAAAATTTCATTATTCAAGCAAAACAGGTTTAGTATTTAAAAAAAGCTGAACATTTTAATAAGTAAAGTGGAAAAACGTTCTTTATTTATTTTTAACTTGAAATTACCTAAATAAATAAGAACTAAAGCCATTGTAGTAGGCGCTTATCAAATATGAATAAAAATATACAGTATGGTTCGAAAATATTGACTAATGAGTAAAAATTATTATTAATCACCCTGTACCATACCTTGGTTGTAACGAATTATAAAGTGAGTTGATTAACACCACCTTGGTGGCCTTTTTTATTTTTATATATTGAACAAAATACGGGAAATCCTCATTACAATAAAAATTATACAAAAATAATTTAAAAGATAACATACATGGTGTCAATTTGAAAACCTCCCACCCTTAAGTATAACAAACATTTGAAATTTTAATTTATAAAACTTATCCTTAAAAAAGTCCTACAAGGAATCTACGGAGTATGGTCAAAAAGTAATGTTTATAAATTATATAAATATTATTATAAAACCTCAATACAATACTTACATCATCTTTATAGGGTCCTATCTCTTTAGCACAGTTCCTTATTGGTCGACCAGCCGGAGAAACGTCTCCGTTTTTGACAAAAGGCTTGTTGGCTGGAGGAGGAGGAGCAGGAGGAGGAGCACCCCCAGCTGCTGCATTGGCATTTCGCATCTGAGGAAATTGAGTGAAATCACAGTTCTTGCTATGGATATTGAATTCGTCGAGTTTGAAAAACACTTTGTAACATTTCCTGCAGAAATACGCCTGGTTGCCGCTCTTCGACTGCGTAGCTTGAAATTCCTAAAACGAAATCACCAATTACAGGTGGAGAAAAAACAAACGTAGGCCCGAATAAAGTGCCTTGTGGCACAACCAATGCTAGTATCTCAAATTTTAACACTAATACTTAATTTATAGTTAATATTTTTTATATATTCAGGCCTGTTCAGCAAATACTCACTCTAGATTCTTGTGGTTCTTCCTTGATCTGCATATTCTGCAAATTGGGTTGCAACGTTTTCCTCTCCATGAAGCTCCTCTTCGGTTGCTGTGGATACGGCATGTACGGATTCTGCGGGAAGGTGTTCTGGCCGCTGAAGAACTGATTATTAGCCGCTATCATTTCTGGCGGAGGGTTGTGTTGTGTGACTACGATCTTCCGAGGTTTGGGCGGATGGATGATTTTGGGAATGATGTTGCTCAGTTTGCTGGCGGCGAATATCTTTTCCGATACTTCGTCTTTTTTGGTTTCGTGCTCGTCGCAGTGCTCCTTGAATTTGTGACGTTGCTTGTTAAAGCGCATGCCGCAATACCGACAGGTGTAGTAGCAGGCTAGGGAGAAGTAGTGACTTTCTATTGCCCAGTTGTCCTTAAACGTATATCTAGGAAAAGAAATAACGTTTTAAAGAGGCAAGGAAGAGTCAAAAGAATAAAAAATAGTTGTTTATAATTCCAACTAGTTAAAAAATGGTTATTTTGTAGTTTCTTATTGTGAATTTTTTTTTACAAGTATAATTAATTTATTATAAATCCTCACCTGCAAAGCGGACAAAACTTCTTGTTGACGCCTTGTATCCGCATCGACTGATACAAAAGCTTCCTTTCATCTTTGGAATAATCTCCTAAGTATATTTCGTTGACCATGGGTTGCGTACCGACTAGAACGATCTTTTCTTCACCTGTCAATTTATTCGATGAACCCTCGTCCCCTTCTTTCATATCCTCGACCGGTATCAACAAATTGTCATTACTTACATCTACTGCATCTTCAATGACGATATCGTCGTCTTCATATCTATGAGAAAAAAGTAGCAACCACATTAAATGGTACCTAAATTATAAGTTAATGTTTATTTATAAATAAAAAAAGTTCGTTCATGTGTCTTCTCCCCTGACCATCTAGGGTTACTGATATTGAAAAGAAAAAAGGCATCTATTTGACTAAAATCTTCAGTTCAATAAAGAACATTAATTATTATTTTTATTAAATTTTGCTTACCCATTTTCGTCGAAGTAATTCAACCATTTATTCCTCACTTCAGCATCATCTCTGCTCTCGTGCCAAGGTATGGGGTTGTCTATTTTCTCTCCCATTTCCACATCCACGTGGGCGGCTTCATGGATGGCCAAAACTTTGAGATTGCGAAATTGTTTGTCACAGTAATTGCATTTGGGCCAGATGGTTTGCTGCAAGAACTCTACCGCCTCGTAATCTGGACAATTTGCCATGTTAATTGCGTTTAGGGCGATGCTCAGCAACGACAGAGGTTGGTACCTGTCGATAACAGATTTATCTATAATTACAGAATTATGTCACAGTTGTGGCATCAGGCCAGATATATCAACTATCAACGGAATGCTAGTCCCACAACAAATCTACCATAAAAGAGTAGAATACAACAGAGAAGCAAATTACTTTTTTGGACTTTAAGAGTGTAAATAGAGAAAAAAATGGGGTCCATAAAAGAAATTGAAAAAATAGATGAAGCTAGACAACTTGGAATGGAAATAAAACAGAACAACAAAATATATGAAAGTAGAGAGGAAATTAATAAGCAGGAATACCTAAAAAAGACCCAAATTCGAAACAGCCACCTCTAAAATTTTAACATAAATCTTTCATTATTTTATATTAATAGAAATCCCACAATTTCAAATAATTTATATGAAAAACAAATAGAAAACCTTTACTTAATAAAATGTTTAACCTAAATCTTTCATTATTTAAAATGGAACAACAATAGGGCAACCAGGAATGAAGAGAGTAAACATAAGGATCCATAAAGAGAACCCTGAAATGTAAAGTCACCATGAAAAAAAAATGAAGATAGAGATATACAAGACACTATGAAACAGCAACAATAAAAACAAAAGAAGACATAAAAATAGCAGAAAATAATGAGAAAATTGAGCAAGGAGACCAAAAACTAGTTGGAGGTGAAACCACCATGAAGATACAAAAAAAGTACAGTGTGTGAAGTAAAAAGGACATGTAATGAAAATAAATTTAATAGAATTGTTAAAAATAATGACAATGGATTCCACTGTGGCCAAGGAAAAGTAAGATACCAAGGAAAAGATGGCGAGAGGATATAGAAGAAGACAAAAGAATACTAGGAACAGACTAGAATGTAAAAATAGGGAAGAGTGGAGAAACGTAACATATGAAACAAGAACCCACCAAAATTTGTAAAACCACATCAACAGATGAATTTAAATGCATAATCATACAGATTGAAGTGCTGGACGAATTATGCCAAATTTCGCCATTGAAATTATCATAGGTAGTAGACAAATCTAGGTCACCAACTCTGAATTAGTTGTAATCAGGCTAAATTTCGTTTGTTATGCCAGCAGTTAATTCAGAAATAAATACAATAAATCGAAATCCATGTTTAAGAACTACTGCTACAAATTCTCACAACACAAAAGGTAAGTCAAGTAATAGCTTGATAACACCAACATATCAACATTAATGCCAGCCAACGTTTTGTATCCACAGTTGCTTCCAAAATTTATAATAAGCTGCTGATGAACATTAAAATGCAAGAAGGTAAAGTTAATATTGGATGGGAAAGATACACAGTGTATGAGGACCTTGACATACCAAGATGCTATCAGTGTCAAGGATATTACCATAATAAACAAAATTGTACAAAAAAAATTGTCTGTTCTCTTTGTGCTGAAGAACATCTAAGAGAAAACTGTCCTAAAACTAACGTGTGTCGTGCTAATTGTAAGAATTCAAATATTAATTTTAAATCCAACAATCCAACTGATCACTATGCCACTGATTCAGAGTGTAATACTCTGAAATATTTAACAGGTTCTTAAATATAAAACAACCTATTGTGAAAATTAATTTCTTATCTTTGCTTTCTGTTTTGTTTTAATTTAATCTCAACATTATAATAGTTTTTACTAATTTACCACAATTTAAATAATCTTTCTTTTATGGATATAGCAGAGCTAAATATTTTTAATGAGATTGAAAATGAAGAAAATGAGATTGAATTAAATAAAAATTCTCGTTATGACTTAGACAATTTTTTTAAATATTATCAGTTGCAATAATCATTTAACAACCTTAATAAAAAATTTGAATTTGAATATTAGAAGTATAAAAAAAAATTTGAAAACTTTTTTGTATTTTTAGAAACTTTTGGTTTAAAGGACTTGGATATAATAATATTAGGAGAAACACCTAATGTTATTGAACTTGATAATTTAATTATACCTGGTTTTATCAATATATTTAATGAAAGTGTGAATAATCAATGTGATGGTGTAGTTATATATATTAAAAACAACATTCAGTTTGAAATAGAACATACAAAGTTGCCTCTATCAAATGTAATGATAAGCTCAATAACATTTAGTCATAATGGTGTGCCCTATACAGTAATGCCTTGTTATAAATCTCCATCCATATCAGATGATACATTTCTTACACATTTTGAAATTTGTTTAAATAATATACCAAGAAGGCTGGGAATGGATATATTTATTGGTGACATTAATATTAATATCCTTGATCCCTCAAACCAAATAACAAATAGATATTTGGCAATGTTATCTTCCTTGGGATTTGTATCATATATTAATTCATACACCAGGGTTATTGTAGAAACGAATCATGTATTGATCATATTTTTATAAAAAATAATATGCCAAATAAAAATGTTTCATTTAAATCGTTGGTAATTGACACTGATCTAACTGATCATTTTCCAATTTTTTTAAATATTACAACAAACGAAAGAAACTCTAACCATAATACATTAAACCAACATACAACATAATACACCGATATAGATAGATTTACAAAATTATTAGAAAATGAAAACTGGGACGTCATTTCTCTTAGCAATCCAATTTTGGCCTACCAGAAATTTATTGAAATAATATATTCCCTAAAAGAACAATGTAATATAACTAATAGGCATAATACTTATAAAAAAATAAAACCATGGATAAGTCAAGGCATCATCATGTCTATTAAACAGGGATAAAATGAAAAAGCAAATATTAAAAACCAAAAACAACAATCTTCTAAGAGAATATAGGATATATCGTAACCAACTAAATAAAATAATAAATAAAGCTATAAAAATGATTATTATACAATTCAAAATAGTAACAATGATATTAAAAAAATATTCAAAATAGTTAAAGAAGCTTCAAATGAACACCGAAACAATAAAACAAACAATGATTTTAATATTCTAAACAATAATAAACAATTTACAAATGACAAAGAAATGGCCAACTACTGCAATAACTATTTTTCAAAAATTGGTATAGATAAGGCATCTAAAATAAATTTTGTAGATGACTTCCTAATAAGATATCCACCTCTAATCAACTCAATGGCATTAAATCCTGTCAATAAAAATGAATTAATAGAACATATAAATTCGTTAAAAAATAACAGTGCTCCTGGGATTGACGGAATTACATCTAGAATGTTGAAAAATGGTCACCGATACATAATGGAGCCTCTAATGTACATTATAAACCTAATCTGTACAACAGGTAAGATACCAGAAGAACTTAAAATATCAATTGTAAATCCAGTTTTTAAAACCGGATCAAAAAAAAGATGTGTCAAATTACAGAGCAATAAGTCTGATTACAAATTTTGCAAAATTTGTGATGCCATGTATGAATTGATATCTAATTTAAAAAACAGTCTTGAGAATAAAAATAAAAATATAAGTGTTTTTATCGACCTCACGAAAGCTTTTGACAATGTTCCTCACAAGCAACTACTAAATGTTCCTGAACATTATGGCATTCGAGGATTGGTTTTAAACATTTTTGAAAACTACCTACACGAGAGAACACAGATAGTTAAAATTAGAAATGAATTTAGTAATCCTGTTAAAATTCAAATAGGTGTGCCACAAGGAACTGTCCTTGGTCAAATTCTTTTTATCATCAACTCTCTTTTAAACTTAGATATAAATGGTATAGCAATATCCTATGCAGATGACACTGTATTAATGTTTGAAGGTAAAACCTGGGAGGCTATAAAATCAAAAGTGGTCAAAGGGGTAAGAATTATGAAAGACTAGTTGGATTATAATAAACTATCTTTAAATATATCGAAAACAGTATATATGGCATTCTCACTCACAGATGCTAACAGGCCTAACTTCAAACAGATTTGAATTGAAGAATCCAAATTCATCATCAAAGAAGTAGAAAATGCCAAATATTTGGGAATAATAGTTGACAAAAATCTTAAATGGACTGATCATGTTCAGTACTTAACAAACAAAATAAGAAAACTTATATATAAATTTTATTTAATTCGTAACATTCTAAATAAAAAGTTATTACACTTGATATATATTGCTCTCATTGAATCCCTAATTAGATATGGCATAATTGTATGGGGTGGTTTATATGACAATGCCCTACATCCTTTAAGTATCATTCACAATTATATCTTAAAGATAATAAATCATAAAAGTCGTCTGTTATCAACAACCCTCTTACACAACGAATCCACTCCAAAAGTAAGATCACTATACTTTCACTCTAGCTGTATGTTCTATTTCAAACTGAAAAATAAAAATTTTGTAAACCACTCTTAAATTAATTGAAAACAAAAGAGAAGAATGCTAAATGTACCATTCTTTAAATATGATGGAAATAAAAGATTCATTTCTTCAATTGGGCCAAAAGTGAAAATATCAGACAAATAAAAAACATAAAAACCTTTTCTAAATCGATCAGAAAATGTATATTTGATAAATATTTATACCTCTCAAATTTGTTATAAATACCTAGTCTTATATATTTATGTCCTTTTAATCATCAAATGTTTAGTTTATAGGTATTGTTAATTTTATGTAGTTTTAATCTATTTCTATTGCACATACAGATGTTTTTGCATTTAGGTGCATATTTTAAGAATAATTTCTCATTGTAAATTTATTTGATTTTGTATTATAAAATGTTTATTCTTCTTAAATAAATTAAATTAAACAAAGTCAAGTAACAGCTTGATAACATCAACATATCAACATTATTGCCAGCCAACATTTTGTAACCACAGTTGCTTTCAAAATTTATAATAAGCTGCTGATGAACATAAAAAATTAAACCAAATTACATATTATATCAATTCAGAGCTAAACAAAATGACTGATATATCCCACTTCTGAAAATTAATTCGTATTTGTCACCATTAAATAATGTCACACTGTAAATGTTTTTTTAATATCATGCATGCAATTAGATGCTTAGCTTGTCTTTCTTTTTATTTAAATTATTATTAAGTGATTAACTGTTAAATATAAAATCTAAATCATATAAAAATAAATAAATAATGGGGAACAGTTGAAAAATAATTTGGCAGTGACAATCAGAAAGAATCCATACTCAATTTCTAAATAAGTAGAGGCCTGTTTTAATAGATGCCAATTTGAACAATTACTATAGTGTAAACCAGCAACAGTGCTTTACTATAGGATACCCAAACAGCAGGTTAACAATGAAGTAGTGTAGAATAATGATTAGGAAATGTGGAAATTGTCTCATTTTAAATTCTAAAATTTAATCTGGGCCACTTATCTTTTAAACAGCATAGGCCCTTGAGATTGTTCAGAATATTTCTAATGTAATGAATGATGTGACATTGTATAATACTTGGGTGTTAAATGGTACATTTGAGTGGAAGCTGCTGAGAACATTTTGGCAAATATTTCAGCTTTTCCTTTATTATTCCACCCCCAGTGGTAAAAGGTGGAAAAGACTTGTGAAATTAAATTGCTGTCACTAATTTTAGTATAACAGCAGTTTTGTATTATAAAATATGAACTTATAAAGAAAGTAAATAAAACAACAAAATATTTTATTTAATTAAACAATAACTTACCTGTGCTTGTTAGATAAGAAATAAATTGAATACTTTTCTACTTTCAAGTAGTTCAAATATCACATGTAAACAAAATACTAATATTTAAATTCATTTTTCTTAAAGCAATACCATTGTAGTACTTCTGGTCAATTTCTTCAAAAATTCATTTAAAGCAAAAAAATGGATATTAATCAAAATTACACACCTATATTCGTCTTCTTCCATAAACCTATCAATTAAATTAGTTTCATCAGGCCTATTCTCTTCTATCAGATCTGCGGGTTTTCTAAGCACCAGTAAACCTTCTTTTACCTCATTATTTATTTGCTCACTTTCTTCTTCATCGTCATCATCATCTTCAGACATTATTCTCCTCCTCTTTCTGGGTCTTATAAGCTCAGAATCATCATCAGACCCATCTATATCACTGTAATATAACACAAATATTAAATTGTGATTATTTTGTTTACAACTGACTCTTACCTATTATCCTCAAATAATTGAGACCCTTCAGTATTATGAGTGTACTCAGTTAAACTACTACACAGAGAATCATCCAATTCATGATAAAATGGAACTACTTTTCTTCTTCTTAGAGATTTTTCTGAAGATTCAGTACGAACCTTGTTTTTTGCCATTGATTCAGCTATAGCCAATTCTAGCTCACCATTTATTAGACTCCCATCGAGGATAGATTGTTTGCAATTGTTGCAAAATATGTTAATGTCATCTGTTGATGTAGTAATATCTTTTAGCTCTGATACTTCATCCTAAAATCACCATTTATAATTGTTAAATGACATCAGGGTATCTAAACCTTTATTAACCTCTAATATAAAACCTTAAGTATATTTTATATGTATCTAATTAAAGTATTAGAAGATAAGAATAACAAACAAATTATTGTTGCAATTTCAATTATGTGTAAATTGTAGTTATTTTTTTAGAAGCAGAATTATAATTTTCAAAAGATTAGTTAAATTTAGTAAATATAACATGAACATTTTTAGTTAAAAACAACAATTAGTAAACATAATGTTTGTATTACCACTACTTGACCACATGCCAAAAACGCCTGGGTTTTTTTATCTGGAGTCTCCTTTAATTTTTCCTTCTGTTTCAGTGCAATCTCTTCACAATTTTTCTTAAAACTACTCAGCGAATTCAGACTTTCCAAACAAGATTCGCAAATATTCTTTGATAATGGGTCAGTCCTATAAATCTGAAAAGTGGTTTTTCGATTTTTTAGTAAAATTCGAGTGAAGCAAGCAAAATAATCGATGTGAAAGTAGTCTTTTTGTACTCACTACAATGGGGATGCAATCTTTGATAACTTGAAGGATTTCAATGCCTTCTTCGTTTTTATCGAAGATGCTTAACATCTTCTCTGCATTTTCGTCACATAATCTGCAAGGTTCTTCCGTTTTTTCACTTTCCTCCATTTTGATAAATTGTTTATAATTAACTACACTACACTAAAAGGCTAATAGTAACCACAATTTGTTTATTCTGCTAAGATTTTTAGCATTTACACAAACGCCGACTACTTGACATGTTATTAAAGTATTCCGCCATTTTAAAAGTAGTTTTTAAAAAAGCACGCAAGACGTCGCTAGCGTAGAAGATAAATCAAATGCCAAAATCTCTGTCCAGTATAATATACATGTTCTAAAAAAAAATACATTAAAAAAAGTTAATATTATTAAATATAGTTGGTTTACACAATTTATAATCATTTATCCAAATTTTTTAATTAAATAAATGTGTGACTGAATGTCCTAGAAAGTACAAGGCTTCTACGACAAAAAAGTGTTATTTCTTCTCTTTGGGGACTTCTACTTCCCCATCATACAACCACTAAGTTTATTAGGATATTTTTTAAATAAAACCATCTTATCAAAGTATTTATAATAAATATATTACATATTACAAGTACAAAAGCGTTTATGTGACTAGCCAATTAGTAAGAGCACTTAATATTAATATTTTTTTTAATCAATACAACAAAAATAAATATTCTCAATTTAAACTGGGGTTGAAAATCGGTGCTAAGGTAACAAAAATTTTTATAAAATCTACCCCAATATATTTGAAAACGAGTGTCATAAGTTTCTAACCGTGCTTAATGTAATAATACATAAATAAATCTAATATATTAAGATTATGATGGATGTAAAAGCATTTAAATCTGTCATTTATAATTATATAGGGTGTTTTAAAATATCATGCACATACAAAAGGGATTATTTAATGACTAAAATGTTATATGTACATTTATAAACATAGGTCCTTAAACGTTTCGTTAACTATCTATACAGGGTGTTGAAATGTCAAGATTTTTCTTTATATACAGAATGATTCCCAAGTTGATACTTTTTTAACTCTGTATATATAGAAGTCCTCATACAGAAGGGCTTATTTATTGACCAAAATGTTATATTTATGTCCCTAAACGTTTCGTTAACTATCTACAGGGTGATGAAATATCAAGATTTTTGTTTGTTTTTTGTTTATATACAGAGTGATTCCCAAGTTGATACTTTTTTAACTCGTTGAAATAAACACCTTATTTAAATAACTTTTTGAAAAAACTCAAAAACAACAAAGATAAAGAATTATTAAATCTAAAACTAGGCCTGAACTTGTGTACGTAAAACTAAACGAATTAATACGTGTCAGGAGCTATAAAAAAAACAAAAAAAAATATCTTAAAACACCCTGTAGATTGTGGATCTATGTATATGACTTTTTAGTCACAAATAAGCCAAAGAATTACCTCATTTCGTATGTACATGCTATTTAAAAACACCTTGTATACAGGGTGATTAGAATCCTCTGACATCAAAATACGATGATTGGCCATATATGACCTTAGTAAAATGCTATTATCTAAAAATGTTTAGGGTGTTAAAAGTTGAAATATTTTATTAATTATATTGGAATATTACAGTACCCGCTTCTCTATTGATGAAACAATACTTTGAACACTTATTAAAATAATATATATGTATTGTCATCAAATTTAATTTGTTGATTAATTATTAATATTTCAACTTTACCACCCTGTAAATCATATTTTTAAAAAGGTAATATTTGGCAAATCCTCATATTTTGATGTCAGGATCCTACCATGGGTTTGTGTACAATTCATTTTGAATCATCCTGTAGCCCAGTATATAATGTATCCATTCAAGAACTGTTTTGGCTATCAAACAATTAATTGTTGTGACGTCCAGTGTAAAATTTGACGTTTATTACTGTTAGAGATTGATCATCGGTGGTTTAGCAATACCTCCTATGTGAATTACCTGTGAATATTTAAATTTCGGTACCATTAGTGCCATCTAGTTGCTGCCTAAAAATTTAAAATGTCTTAATGGTATAGCAAACCTATTAAAATAAATTGTCGCCCAATAATTAATACCTTGTATGTGTGCACTTCTATAAGAAGTTCTAAGAAGTTTTTTGTGCTACTGAAAATTTAGTGATTTTACATATAGGAGATGTTCCTAAACCAACAACGTTATCAAGAAATATTGTGCCTGGGCGGTCTTCCCCCCCAATACAAGCAATTGTGTGCAGAGTTATCACATTATTTCTTGATAAATCTCTACTGCAATTATCCAACAATTGCAAACGAGGAAAATATCAAATTAAAAGTATATGTTTTCTATTATTTCTTAGCCAAACTGCAAATGAATGATTTTTTTTATGAACATATAGTATTTAATAATTTTATTCCCCTAAAACTGATAAAAATATATTTTCTTATCAAGTTTAATGAGAAAACACATTTAATTAATAATATTAGAATATTTAGATAAAAAAAAAGTATACCTCAGCCCAAGTTTAAAACATTTAGTAATATATAAATACCCAAAAACCAAACGAAAAAACTTAAACCTACAAAATCAATTTGGTAACCAAAATAAAATAATGGCACATAAATAGTTTACAAAAATTCTGAATATAAGCTTCAATGTATAATTCATAAAAATATATTCACAAATCAACAGTTAGAACTTAAAAACTAAGATATGCATAGAATGTGTTTCAGAGTTACAACACAAATTTTAATAAACCGTTAAAAAATAATTTTTAAAGTAACACAATATAAAAAATATATTTTTAATTTGTCCGTAACACTATTTGTCAAATTTAAGAAACATGCAGAACTGTCAATTTTAACTAAATTATAAATGCATGTACCTAATTGAAATAAATGCCAAAAGAAATCACATTTTATCTACAAATCAAAAATATATAAATATTTAATTCAGTTTCATATGTATCTTTAAATATTTATTTGAAATGTCTTTAAAAACTTCATGTCAATTTTTTAACATCAAATGTCAATGTCATTTGTCTAGAATTATAAATAATATTGAGACATAAATCAAAGTCTATAGGTATAATCTCATTTTTTGTAATAGGGATTGCTGCTACATTTGTAGGTTTTCTCTCTAACATTTTGTGCTCCTCAAGTCTTAATACAAATATCTAAAAGCTATTGTTATTTCAACCTGTTAACATATACTTTGCTGCCTTTCTTCTATGGGATTACAATCCTGAGTTTCAGGTGATGTATATAAAATGTTTGCAGATATAATAATGGGATATTCGATATTTCTGTCGAAAGACATAATTTGGATTTCTTCCCCTTTCGTAAGAGAAATTTTCAGTATTTCCGATTGTTTACTATAAACTATTTGTCTTTGTTCATTTAGTTTGGTAACTATCACCCTACAAATGAAAATTTTAATAAACATTTAAATACAAAACTTTAAACTTCATTGTTTTACCTAAGAGCTATATGTCTGGTAGCTTGTAAACTTAAAAGCTGCTCAAATTCAGATCTATGATTCCTTTTAATTGAGATTGAAGAACCGTCAGTAATCATTAATAAGTCAACTCCAAAATGAAAACCAGTCCATCTCCATACATGTCTTTCATTTACTGTCAAAACTCTTCCACACCTCAAGCTTGTTGCCAAAAATATTTCATCAGATATTTCACTGGGTCTGAAAAGACATTATGAATGTTACAAAGTGAATTAATTATATTATTATTAGTTTTTATTACCCTTTGTCATCATTTTGGTTAACCCTCAACACATTTTTCCACTGTTGCAAAATCACAGAGTCAAGCCATGTTTTTGGTATAATATTGTCCCTTAATATCAGCAAAACGTCAAGTTGATGAGAAATAAGATTTTGTAATCTTAGACCTTGGAATACTGATAGAAATTGTTTGCCTTCAGAAGTCAGTAGATATGGTAATGTTTCTTAAAATATAATAAAAACAGGTTATAATAACTACAAGAATTAAAACAAAAATACTTTATGATCTAACTAATAAAACATATTTTGTCTGGTTTTCAAGTTTAACTTCATGTTTCTATAACATTTTTACATCTTGATATCTGCATTGTATTTTAATCATTATTGTAAATATTTTCTTACCTGTTCTGGAGCAAAAATATTCATTTACACTAACAATTGATGGTTCATCTGAATCAGGAAATATAAGTAAATATATCCAATACTTCAACATTACATAAATGGAATATTCTGTTTGTATAACAAACAAATCAGGATGAGATACTAATTTTGCCATCAATGATACTGGAATGGTTTTAAGATCAGATAAGGGATGACTGAAGTAATATGGCATTAAATTGACTAAAAACCATTTAAAGCAGACATCTTGGAGTTTTTTATCACCATACTGGCAAGCTGCATTGTAATAATTGAGTGACGTCTAGAAATAAGCAATTACAATATATAATAAATAGTGTTTTTTCTTATACTCACTTTTGGATTAATTGTTTCTAACATAACTTCTGTACATTTTTCAATTAATCCATCTAATTGAAACATTGTTGCTGTAGCAAGTATTGGTACAATTTCTAGTGGATTCAAAATGATTTCACAGTTATATAAAGATCCTAATACCACTTTTAAAGCTAAAATATAATAAAATTGTTTTACGATTATTATCTATATTAAAAAGTATGAAAGAAACTTACAGTCTCTTGTAATAAGGGGATCTACAATGTCCATTGTTATGTATTTTTGATTGGTCTCCAGCCATGACCCTCCAAACATGCTAGCAAAATAGGGACTTTGGCATAAATACACCCTGTGTAGATTGAATTCTTCACCTAGGGCACATACTGTTACATCAGAGTTCTGACCCTCCAGAAACAATGCTTGATATATATATTTTGCAGTACTTAGTAGTTTTTTCCTAGAATTTTTGTTGTATTTTTATAACCTGTTTTATCTATAAATAACTATTCAGCATGAACAAAAAATATTCCAAGTATGGGTCAAAATAAGATAAAAATAGCTAAACACTTAAAATACATTTGATGAAAAAAAATATGCAAAAATAAATCACCTTTTAGGCGTGTGCAATGCGATATCTATCACTTTATTGACCTCCTCATCCTCTGATTCACAATATTTTCGTTTTTTTCCTGTAACAAAGCCTGTAACATTGCTCACAAAGTTTGTAGTAGAAATTTTCAGACCCATTTTTTGCTTGTTTCGATGTCCGCCGTACTTCCGTTTACACGATTACCCTTTTCAGGCAAAAAAACTGTTTAAAACAGTTTTTTCTACATGAGAAACTTCCTTACATCATTATGTTTATATAATTTTGAATAAATTGTATATCCTCTTATGGTTCTTGTCACTGCACAATAACAGTTAAAATACCATTAACAAAATAGAAACTTTCTTTTTGGATCAGTTAATCCGTGCGATATTTGCACTTGACTTGTTTATTTACTAATGGATTCCAAATTAGGAGTTTGTAGGCGACTTATTTGTACTTGAAATTATTAACTGGTTATTTATTGTTCATTATTGTTAGTGAACTGTGTAAAAACTAGCAAAATTAATGATTTAAAAGCATTTCTGATGTGTTTTAAGACTGAATTTTACAATGCCACTGTAAAAACGGTTGCAAAACGCAAAAAATATTCGTCAAAACAGCTGTCCTTCAAAAATAGGTTATGTCGTTATGTCATCGCCAAAAATATAAGTTTGCTAAAGTGAAAAAGCATACATCTTTTGTTGCTTAAAAGTGAGATAACACTATCCGTTTTTTAAGCCGGTACAGGTAGAAAGGGAACTTTTATTTATTTCTTTATATGAAAATAATGAGTAGGAGTGAGAAAAGGATTTTCAATGGTATAAAAATGATATAAATCAAGAAATGAAATGAGGTCAACAAAACACTGGTTTAAAAATATACAAAATTTTGTTGTGGTGTGCTGTCATCTATTATCTGTGTCTATTATTAAAATTGACTAACATTTTGCAAATTATAAATAAATTTTTAAAATAAAAATATTTTGAAAGTTGTACAGTACATTCATTTATCTTTTTTAAGTACAAAAATAGTATGATGGTGAGTGAAAATGTTATTTAGATGGAACATTTATAGGTTAAGTAATCAAAGTTTAAGGTTATGCAGTAACCATAATTTTTATATAAAACATTCCGTATTATTTGAAAGCCGGCTGGACGATAGAAATAAGAGTATTCAAAAAAGGAATTTTTCATTTCAAAATACAGTAGAATCGATAGCTAAAACCCAAACGGGAATATTCAAATCTTTATCAGAAAGTACGCCTGTGGAATATATCCAAAATTTTTTATTATCCTTCCACGATACTTCTGGACTGCCTTGGTGGGCTACTATAGTATGTACAACGATATTATTAAGAAGTTGCGTAACTTTACCACTAGCTGTCTATCAGAATTATATATTAGCAAAATTGGAGAATTTAAAACTTGAAATGCCTGAAATAGCTAAAGAGCTACGCAAGGAAACTGCTGTCGCCATTAAGTTGTATAAATGGGATGAGAAAAAAGCAAAATTAGTTTATAACAGATCGGTAAGTAACCGTTGATTTAATAGTAGAAATGTAGCATAAATGTAACAGTTTTCAGATTAGGAAGCAATGGAATAAACTAGTAGTTAGGGACAACTGTCATCCATTTAAAGCCAGTTTATTAATATTGTTTCAAATACCAATGTGGATATCTTTATCAGTATCACTGAGAAATCTAGTTTACATGCTACCTTTACAAGATGCAAATGCCCAAATAACTTTTGCAGAACTTTCTATAGGCGGCTTTGGGTTCATTCCCAATTTAACAGAGGTTGATGCCTCTGGGATACTCCCTGTTAGTCTGGGATTAATAAATTTATCAATTATTGAGGTACCTACTTAACAAACTTGGTTTTCAAATGTATTATTAGCATAATTGTTTTTTAGCTGCAAAGGTTATCGAGGGTTAATGATCCCACAAAGTTACAAAAGATTTTGACAAATGTTTTTAGAGGTATAAGTTTAGTAATGATACCTGTAGCTGCATCAGTACCGTCGGTAAGTCTGGTTTGAATTTAAACATTAAAATTTATCTCCTAGGCACTTGAGAGATTTTTTCTCTTATAATTATATATATGGAAAAACTCGATTTGTTTTTATTAATGGCAGTATGAGTAAAAGTATAGAGATTTCATGTGGTGTAATACAGAGTTCCATTTTGACACCAGAACTTTTGTTAATGAAACGATTAAACTTTCCATATGTATTACCTCTTAGAGTTCCAGGGAAGTAACAATGTTGAAAGATATTTTTATGAACCTCATCAATTATGTTTAAATTGTAATTCTCTGAATATTAAACTTTTTTTGCTGAAATAAATTCATGAGTTTAATTTGATGATTAATTCTATTTTCTAGTGTCTTGTATTATATTGGACAACTTCTAGTGCTTATGGATTGATACAGAATTTGGTATTGATATCTCCCAAAATTAAAAGAATTTGTAGAATACCAAAAACTACAAGTGAATTATCGGAACCTTATAAACATATTAGCTCAAAATTACAAAAAATGATTGACTTTTCTTCATATAAATGATGAATTTATATTCTATCATTATTAATGTAATTACTTGTACAATAATTTATATTAAATATTAAACAACAAATTGCATGTTTGTGTATTTTTATTTTATAAGTGTGACTCAATAAAAAAAATAAATATTTACATAATCTAGTCATTAACAGGTAAGTATTTTTATTATCTGTTCTTAATATTTTCCTGATTTGACATCATATTTGACATTTCCTTGATCATCTACAGACGATGATGAAGAACTGAATGCACCGCGAGGTCCCTGAGCAGCTCCTGACACTTTTACACCTGTTCCTTTACCTACCCCACTTCTGCTGAAAAGTATGGGCCTAAAAATAATATTTAACTAATTAAAATACAATTAAAACATGTATATACATTTGTGATTCTGACATTTTACATCTCACAATTAAATATGTTTTTTTTATAAAAATTATCTTAATCTAACCCTCTGTAGCCTAAGTCTTCTGGAAGTGGTGCACCGCCACTTCTACCATGTACGTTTGCAAAGCTTTCAGCTTGCCTTTGTATATCTTCCAAATTCGATGGGAAATTTGCTGCAAAATTGCTGAAATCTGGGATATATGATGACCCTCCTAAAATATCGATATTAATTTTTACTAGATCAATAAGTTTTATAATTTCGTGAGGTACAGCACGTGGCACTTAACGTGTTAAGATCTAATAATGTCTTAAAATTGAATCAAAGATTATTTTACCATCTGCTCCAGAATGTGAATATGAACCAGAATATGAATTAGCAGATCCACCGCCCTGGCTATTTCCTGGCGATCTTCTGAATCTTAGAATTACATTCTCCAAGTCACGTCTGCTTCTTACTTTGTATTCATTGGTTATTTGTCCTAATTCATCGATTAAGAAGATTGATTTGGGAACATATTCACCGTAAGCTTAAAAAAGAAACAAAATATTTTTTGGCACTGTTAATATATATTATATCGTTAAAACAGGATTTAGTGTTTTTTAAAATCACAACCAAAGATAGGGAAATGAACCTATTTGTAGTAAATATCAATTTCCAATCGACCAAAATATTTACTAATTACTGATGTGTTAAAATTGAATTCTAAGGAGCACTCTAAAAAGAGCTATATTTAATATAATAATTTTGTCTTGTATTTATGTCTTTTCAATAAAATATGGTCCTTCTAGTTAATTTTCATTTTATATACCCACACCACACACAACTATTTAAATAGGCACACAAACATTTTGAACATCCTTGTAAATTTGATCTATCATCTGCAAATCTTTTTTCTTTACCATTTAATTTAACAACTTCCTTTCTTCACAGTATACTTCTATATATAGAAATTAGGTATACAGGTATTTTTATTTATACTTTTTGATATAACAATAAACATTTTATTGCATAAATTATACCATCATTAAATGAAATTAAAATTCAATAAGTACGTAATAAATTGTGGTTGACAATTATAGGTACTTAAATTGCCACAATTCTATACTCTATCTCCCTTTAGTAAGTTTTAATATCGATATAAAATAATTGTTTTTTTTTTCGTATTAATTATTTTCTATATAAAATACTAATGCTTTCTCTAAATGGCAATTTTCGACCAATGATGAAAATTCTTGGGCGATTTTTCATTTCTTTCAATATGATTTGATTTGCAATGTGGAGTTGAAATTCATTCTTTAAAAATTAACAATTTCTTTAAAAAGTAACATAGTTTCTTTAATAATTATTAAAGAAATAACTGTGTTACTTAAGTAACACAGTTTCTTTAATAAGTAACACAATTTCTTTAAAAAGTAACAATTTCTGTTTAAACATGCGGCAATAACAAATCTGATTTGTCCAACACATGACCTTCCTGTCAGTTATTACAGGCTTTTTCCAAAATAAAGCTCAAGTTTAAAATTTGGTGTTTTTCTATGTATCCGTTCATGAGTTATCGAGTATACAGACACACACGCACTCACAGACATCATCGCGAAAATAGTTAAAAGGGATTCAGGGGACTCCAAAACGTAAAAAACCATCGCAAACTCGAGGTCGAAAAAATCATGATTCCAATACTTTCATTATCTGCATACAGACAGGAAAGTAAAAAGACTGCACACTTGTGTCATAATGTAATTAGTTAAAAATCTAGTAAACCGTAGAAATAATTGAGATTTTTAATAATGTAGGTACCCACAGGTACACACAATATATTACTCGCAATAACTGGTAATTTTCGAACAACAAATTAATTGGCTCTTTTAGCATTTACGAGTTATTGCTTTTTTATAATTATTAAAAACTATTTTACTTATATACGTTTCATTGCGCAATAGTTTTAATTAAATTTAACATCCGGTACATTTATATTCATTTAACTTTAAATTACTCCATTCCAGATTACTTTTATATCAATTATGAAGCCAAAAAGTAGGTAATTTGAAACTGTTTAGTTTATGATCATTTCAAAATGCTCTTGTGGACCTTTTAGGATAGATTGTTGCAATATTTTTCATTTTACGCCGACTTATTAAGAGTTTTAATTTGATATTAAAAAAAAGTATTTCTATTAAGATTGGTATTTATAAATCGGCAGAAGCTAATATTAATTGAAATAAAACTTACATGACACATTAGAAACAAGAATTGTTACAACAAAACACACCGAGGTCAAGTTTATCGCCAGCATCTTTAAGGATCTGCATTAGTTGCTCACTTTGATCGACCTTTATACTATTTTATTTCAATTCTGTACGTGTTTCGTTTGCACACCTCGGGCTTCACGTAAAAAAAATCTTGTTCATTTACACTACAGTGAACCTGAGTAGTATATCGTCAATAAAAAAATGTACAGAATTACGTAATAAGTTGTTGAACGGAACACTGTTTGTTTTCTGGAAAAGTTTAAACAATAGACCAGAGGTGGGCTAGATGCATATTAGTAGCCCCTGAGTTATACTAAGAGGGGATATCAAAAAATTCGTAGCCTCGCGCATGGAAAACGTACCCTTTTAATTTTAAACTGCGATCACAATAATGATTTTTTAAGACTTTTGACAAAAAACAATGCTTACTGTTATATCCCTATCATGCCTAATACCAAAATACTTGTAGTATAGTTACTAGATTAGATTTTGATGTTGTCAATAATAAATAAAGATGTCAGATTTTCAATATTAGTTTGCACCTCGTTATTATTCAAATATTTACAGTTACAATATTTGGCGACGTTGAAAAGCAATTCATCTATTTAATTCTGTAGATATTTCCCCAGATAATTTTCTTTCTGTTACAGAATAGACCCCTTTGGGGTCTATTCTGTAAAAATTCCTTTATATTTAACGGCCTTTAAAAATATTGGCGGCCTTTAAAAGTATATTTGTATTCGTTAATTTACTTCTGTCATTATTTAAACAGATTTCTTTAAGATAGTACTCTAATGTATTTTAAAGATCCGTTTAAATAATGACAGAAGTAAAGAAGAAAATATTTTTAAAGGCCGTTAAATATAAAGGAATTGTTACAGAATAGACCCATTTGTCTACTAAAATATATCCTCTAAGAAAGCGTTTACAAAAAAATAAAAAATCGATTGGAATTCTTCCTGTGAATTTGCTTTTATGAACATTAAACAAGAAATAGCAAGTGATCAAGTTCTATTTCCGTATGATCCGAATTTACTCTTAATTTTAGCCTGTGATGCTAGTCCTACAGGAGTTGCTGAAATTTTTTCGCATCTAATCGATAATGTTGAAAAACCTATATAGGATTTGCTTCAAGATCACTGACCTCTAGTGAGCAAAATTATAGTCAGACCGTATAGCATTAGCGATTATGTTTTCTGTTAATCATTTCTAGATGTATCTTTTTGCTCGTAAGTTTAAACTTGTAACTGACAATAGTCCACTCTGTAGAATTTTTCATCAAAATGCAGAACTTCCAGTTATGACATCCTTCAGACTTCTGAGGTATGCCTCATTCTTATCTAGATTTGACTATGAAGTTGAATTTAAAAAATCGTCTGATCATACAAATGTAAACTGCCTTTCTAGAGCTCCAATAGAACAGAAATATTCATCAATGGATAAATTTTTAAACGAGGAGGTAAATCAATTTTGTTATTCAACAATTTTGCAGATATCATCATATAATTTGACTCATGAAAATATCTGTTGAGCAACTAAAAGTGATCCAGATTAGTCTAAAATTATACATGATTTAAAATCAAACGATAAAATTGATAGCGATCTTACGATACAAGATGACATTATAGGTCAAAGAGTGGTAATTCCAGCTAATCTTCGACCCATAGTTCTTTCCGAACTCCATAGCACTCACATAGGTATAACCAAAATGAAACACCTAGCCAGAAGATACTGTTATTGGAAGAATATTGATAAAGACATCGAGAAGATTGTTAAATCATCTCAATCCTGTGCTGAAGTGCATAAATCTCCATCTAAGGTAAAGTTACACCATTGGGATGTACCTTTGGATAACTGAGATCGTATCCACATAGATTACGCCGGACCGTCTCAAGGATATTACTATTTAGTTGTTGTTGATGCAAAATCAAGATGGGCAGAAAAAAAAAATTACGTGATGAGCCTACTGCTTCAGGGTAAACTATCGATCTCTGTTACAAGACATTTTTTCTTTTCATGGATACCCTCGGATTATAGTTTCCGACAATGCTTCCATTTTTGCTAGCGAACAATTCCATTCTTTTTCAAAAACACATGGCATATTCCAAAAATTTATTGCACTAGGTCATCCAGCAACCAATGGTTTGGCGGAAAGACGCGTTCAAACTTTGAAAAATCGTCTCAAGGCAATGTCCGATGATAGAAGTCCTATTTATAGGAAAGTTTAAGAAATATTACTTAAATACCGCGAACTACTCCCTTCAATTCGGGAAAATCCCCAGCAGAATTATATTTAAATCGACATGTTAGAATTAGACTAGATGCAATTCGACCATTTAAGCATTCTAAATCACAATTACATTTACCAAGAGTTCGTAGTTTTAATATGGGGACGAGAGTACAAGCAAGATTTTATCAAGGAAATAAGATGTCTTGGAAATTCGGCATAATAACTAAAAAGTTTGGACGTCTCCATGCACTATTTAGTCCAATTAGATGATGGTTACTCCATAAAACGACACATATAGATCAGTTGCGCGGTACCCTAGTGACAAAGAAGAGAGTAAGGTTCGCTGATAAAGATTTGGAGGAATCTAATGAAGGACAACAGTCACAAAATAATGAACAGTACCTACCTATTATTCTACATCAATCAAATAATAGACAGGATAATAATAATAATAATAATAATGATAGTCTGAACGCGAAATGTTTCACCCTGAAAGTTGCGGCATTCCCATAGAATTCGATATATGCCACGTTTTGTACTTTAGTCATGTTTACCTTATTTTGTTAAAAAAAAGAAGTGTTCTAAAATAGTGTGGGAGACTGTTATTTCCCTAATACTTGTAGTATAGTTACTAAATTAGATTTTGATGTTGTCAATAATAAATATGTCAGATTTTCAATATTAGTTTTCACCTCGTTATTATTCAAATATTTACAGTTACATTGGCCTTCAAAAAAATAATTATGGAAAGATCCAAGTAGATTTTTAATTTTTTACCAAATATAGTTAACAATATAATTGCCTAATATTCTTTGCAAATTCTCGATCGTCAAACTTTTTACCTCAAATATTTTTACATTGATATATAAACAATCATTTTAACATACAAATACATTCTTTAGAAAGGATAGAGAAATAAAAATTAACAATACATCGAATAAATAATATATTTTTAAATATTTGTTTTTCAAATCGTGGAGAAAGAATGAATGAATATTTATTGGCCAGACCGATACTGTTTCTGGGAAAACCCAGTTATTAAAAAAATTAAAATATTATTTTTGTTATTTTAGCTCTATAGGTACTTCTACAAGATGATTTATATAAAAAACAATCCAAGAGGGTGATTTACATAATATATATTTCGTAGAATGTGTAGCGGATAGAATTTCTCGATAAGTAATTAAAAATAGACTCATATTAATTGATTTTTCTAAGTGGCACGATTTCTTTTTTCCATCAGCATAAAGGTTTCATGATTCAAAATCATGAACTTTGTTCTCTGTGATCGTGATATAATTAAGTTCTTAGGCGTCACCACAACAAGGCCAATAAGTTGCAATCCTGCAAAGCGACAAGATAATCAATATCGATACAAAACCACAAATAATTCCAAGAAGCTTGAAACATATGAGAGTAGAATTTGGGCATCAAATAATATCTTATTTTTATTAATCAATGTATCGGTAATTACGAGTATAATAATAACAGAAATATATATATTATTATATGACACTACATAAAATATATTTCATTAATGCATTTTAACAATTTAATAAAAATATAAAAAGCGCTAATTTTCATTCAATGTTAGATTTTCGTGATTAATTGTTTTAAATGATGCACGGTCTAAAATATTCGGACTGTCCAAGGTGTCTCCAAACATTGACCTGGTTAGACCCTTCACAAACTCGTTTTAGGTACGCCTATGTTGTCATCGATATAAAAAGAAATTCAATGTTGTCAGTAAACCACGTTGTTACCATGGCAACCGCGGGACGCGTCATTTCTCACGTGGTTCTTGGCGCTGCTTTAAAATTATTTTAATAAAACACTTTTTGTAACTACTTTTTTTACTGTGAAAATATAAAAAAAAAATAAATTTAACGGAAATATCGTTTTAAGACGATAAATAATTTTTTTAATTTGAAAGCGATTAAAATTGTATCGTTTTGTCACTGCCAAAAAACTGTATTACCGATCTTTTAAAGTAGTAGTGGCAGCAATGACCTTTTTGTTTATACATTTGACAGGTGTTTGTGTACACTTTTTTAAATGCCATGAATGAAAAATATATAAACTGCTTTTTATAATGGTATGATGGGTAACTGTTGCTGCAGAAAAGAAAAATCGAATAGGTATGAAACTATTTTATAATGAAATATGTAGCTTCCATTTTATTTTTAAAATATTTTTTATTATTGCAGAAAAATTGTGTTATTATTGGTAGGATTAGATAATGCCGGTAAAACAAAGGCTGCCAATGGACTTATCGGAGACAGAATTACATCCCCTGTTCCCACAGTGGGGTTTTCTGTTTTAAATTTAAAATATCTGAACCATGCAGTTAAAATTTTTGATTTAGGAGGTGGACCTAGCATACGAGGCATATGGAATACGTATTTTGTTGATGTAAGCATAGGATTTAAATGTATGCTTTTAATTCGCTAAAAACACCCTTTTTAGGCCCACGGACTGATTTTTGTTATTGATTCGAGCGACATATCCAGATTTGATGAAGTAAAAACAGTTTTAAAAGACATACTTTACAGTGACAAGATAACAGGCAAGCCAATTTTAATTTTAGCAAATAAACAAGACAGCGAAAATGCCGTAGACGAAATAGAATTAATAGAATATTTAAATCTGGAACAATTAGTGAACTTTAGAAGATGCCCGACTTTGGTACAAAGTTGTACCGCTTCAGAGGCGTCTCAGAATAAATTAGATTTGGGTATACAGAAGGGGTATAATTGGATCATGGGATATATAATCAAGCATTATGAAACTTTAAATGATAGGGTCGAAAAAGATGTAAATGAACAACAAATTAAAGATCAGGAAGAGTTGTTAGAGAAGATAAAGAGAATAAAGGAGCAGCATGCTTTGGAAGAGAGTAAACAGAAGGATGATACGATAGAAACTTACTCCGAATATGTGAAAAAGATGAACGGAGAAGCAAAAGCTGTTGAGCCGTTAGATGCACGTAGAAAATCTGAAACTGCCTTCGAAGATTCCAGCAGCATGGGTAGCGCAAGTTTATCTGAATCTTCGGAATCTTTCCCGCCTGTGTATATAATGGATAACGAGTTTAATCACATTGACAGGCCCAAAAGTAGTGTGGAACTAGTCAAAAATCAGCTGAAGATGAGGGACAATGTACAAAAACCACCTCCAAGGCATCGAATGAATAAAACTGTTCCAATTAATTTGTATGGAGCTAGATATCCTTATTCTGCTGACGAAAGGCGTAGACAAGTGATAGTTGACAGGAGCCAACAACTAACTTATGACAGGAGGCATCTTAGATCCGCCGATAACGCATTGTTTACCATTAGTAATCACGTTGTGGACAACGTTATGGGCCCCAGTGGAGATTATATAGGACTGAAAATTTTTGAAAATGGCAATTTGAAAAAATCTGTACATAGACAGACCAGTGGAGGGGATGTTATGAGTGTAATAGACATTTGATATTATTTTGTTTTTTTTGGATGAGTTTAATTTTTGGGATACTTTGTTTTGTTAAACAAAAAATGCAAACGTTGTTTATTAATATTTTCAAATTAAGTTAAACATGTATTTTCTAGTATATTTTTACCAATATATAAGTGCGAAATATTGATCTAATTTTGTAAAATTGAAATATATTTATAAAATAACTAATCATTTATTTTTATTGATCTGTCAATATTTTCTCTAAAATTGTGACCTACAGAAAAGCCCTAAGGATTTTTTTACACTACCAACATATTGTTGGTGATTTAAAGGATAAGAGTATCAAAATATTTAGTTTGTTTTTCATATTATTCTTAAGGGTATCTTTTTTAATTTTATTAGAATAATTTCTTAGAATAAAAAACTATAGATTTTAAATTACCTGCGGACCATAGAGGCCCCCTCTTTGGGGCTAGATAAATTAATTTATTGCATAAGAATGCAAATTGTAAAAAAAAAACATTTTTCTGGAACAAAATATATTAATTTTAAATAATCATACTTCAACAATAAATATATGTATATTTATAGGTGTATAATGACATTAATTATTTTTGTTTAAATTATAATACTCAATTTAACAAAAAAACTAAACAATACAAACTATTTCATATAGGTTCACTTTTGCACTAAATTTGTACATTAATATGTGCCAAAAAAACAGCTTCATGGAAAAAATACTTTATCTAGTGTTTTAAAAAAATGTATTTTAGCACTTCCTTGATTATGTTATGAATAATTGTTTCACCAGAGTACCTCATAAATAAATAGCCAAAGGTATCCCCAGATGGACTGAAAAATAGGAAAACTTTTAGAGAAAATGTTATTCTTCATAAAAGTTTTTACTTCTTTCAAAAATATTAATTCAAACAGTAGTTGTTGAATATCTCTTTGCTTTAGTGAAATAATGACATTTTCTTTAAGTTTTTGTCATTATTTCAATAAAGAAGAGATTTTTTGTTTGAATTATTATTAGTTTTGAAACAAGCAAAAACTTTTATAAAGAATAATTTTTTTTCTAAAAGTTTTTCCTTTTTTTCAGTCCATCCAGGTCCTGTATTTCACTGCTTATCCTGATAATGAAATCCTTTATAATCAGTACGGATGTTTGGCCACCTATTTTGAATATATAGAGTATTTTAATTTATAGATACAAACGTAATTTTAAGTAAACATTTATGTCACAAATTATAAAATACTTATTTAATTAGACAGCAGTCCCTAATCTACAATTTTTAAATATCCTACTGTCCTTATTTTGGTAAAAAAGTTCCTATAGGTATAAAATGCATTTATTAATCTATACTTATGGAAATTTCACAGGAAAAATAATCGTCTTACTAATAGGAGTGAAATTAGAGCAATGATTAACAACATTATGGCTGTCCAGAGTTTATCCCTAAAAAAAATATACAAAAATGCATGAGAAAGATAAAATTGACAAATTTTTATTTAATAGCTATTTATGCACCCAGTTACGACATGCCATGTTTTATGTAACGAGTAAATATTTGCGGGATGAGCACAGCGAGGTCATGCAATATGAACGAGTTACAGAAAACAGATATTCGTAATGTGATACATATAATTTTTTTTCTAATTTTGACTAAATTATTTATAAAATTGTGTTTTGGCAATTACTAACATTAATGCAACCAATATTACTTTCTTGTATTGTTATTTGCATATGGGTAACCTCATTCATTTTATTATAAAATCATATTAATTTAGCCTCAACGACTTGTAATGTGTTTATATTGCTTCTTAAAGTTAGTATTCAAGAAAGTGGGTTATTTTATCTTGTATTGTGTTTTGATTATTTTGTGCTGATCTAGAATTGAAAATAAGGAAAAAAACAAAATTATGATTAGGTTGTAAGTTCACTAACCAAATTCTATTTTTATAAACTCAACCTTCCCTTTTTTGATATAAACTTTCAATAATAATGTATACATTAATTTTAAAACCAAAAGGATTTATATTTGTTTTATTTTCGCAACTAGTGACTGGTATGTCTAATTTTCGGATCGAAATTTGACCGCTGCCAGGTACTAAACGAGTAATATTTATGAGTTAATATTTCTGACATGTAATATACATCCCAATACCTTTTTGCCAGGTGAAACCATTTTCCCCCAACGCCTCCAAGGAGTACTTTGTTCTTGTCAATTATGACAAAATCAGATGCCAGGTACTAGAAAAAATTGCGCTAGATTATTTATTTATTCCAAGTAAGAAAATACATATGCAAATGAGAAACATCACAATATTAATAATCACAGTGTATGTGTAATTGAGCTCGAGCTTATGCTATATGAGCTCTCCAGGCCAACATAAATTATTTAGAAATATAGAAAACAGCAAAAAAAGTTATAAAAAACATTATTAACATGTAGGAAGAAGAAGAAGAATTACAAGATATCTAAAAGAACTAAGTTCTTAAGAATTTAACTTTAAACATTTATTAATTAATTAACCTTGAAGAAACCTGCAAATATTAATTTCTTTAATTGTGTCGCAAAGGAAGTTGTTTGTAGACCTCGAGTTCTTTCTGGAATCTTGTTATATACATATTGTTACTTGTTAGGCTTCTCTGTCCCATTGATGTTTTCATTGATACTGCTCTCAGATCATTCCTGTTACGCAGATCATAGGTATGAATTTCATTGTTGGTAACAAGGTGAATATTTGAGTTCATTTCGTTGTGCAGACATCTGTGTATATATGTGCACACTTGGTATATATATTTTTAATCAATATCCATTATCTTGTTAGGCAGATATAGATTTGATGTTGGATGTAATCGATGCAGGTTGAAGATTTTCTTTATTGCCTTGTTTGCAGCACAAGAAGTGGTTGAACTTTTAAATTGTACGTACAGCTCCAAATAAGTGAAGTATGTCAGGTGGCAGTTGACAAGACAGTGGTAAATCATTTTCTTGTAGTGCACAGATAGATGAGATTCTTCAAAAGAATGCCAATGATGGGTGCTATCTTTTTGCAAATGTAGTTAATGTGTTGTTCACAAGACAATTTTTCATCTATTAATAGACCAAGATATTTTATACAGTCAGTTTTATTTAAAAGTTCATTACCAATAGATAATTCAATTTGTTGCCATTCCCTATCATTAGAAATTACCATAAAGTTTGATTTATTTATGTTTAAAGATAGTTTGTGATAACTAAGCCAATCCTTAATAAGGATCCCAGCTAGCACATAACGTTGCCAAGCCTTTCGGCGATGTTGCATTAAGGGAACGTAATAACATTACTGTACAACGTAAATGCAACGTTCATGAGAAGTTGTCGAGGGAAATCAAAACCTCGCAAAACTTCTATTTGTTATTTACCTAGTTAACCTACCGTAAACATTACAAATCTGAATTTCAGAACGTTTAGTTTTATGTCAATTGTCACTTGTCAGTTTTTCTTGTCAATTGTCTTTTTTAATGGTTTATTTTTCGACATCCAGAATTTATTTTATAAATAATTATTATTTATACATTCGAATAGATTTGGTAAGGGTCCTCTATAAAATAGATAACTATTTTCTAAACCATTGTCTTTGTTTCAGATTACAATGCCTGATGTAAATTTATTATTTCATTCATTAAGTATCTTTAGCAGTCGATGCCGATGACACCAAATAAAAAAAAACTACAATAAAAACAAAAAATTGCAGATCAATCGTTGTAAACCAGAAGATAAACATTTAACCGAATGTCCGGCAACATTTTACACCAAATACTTATAAAAGGTAATTATACTTTATCGAACTAAAAATACATTTTAAAAATATTATTTTTTAGGTTTCCTTCGACATTCTAGGAATTTTAGAAGCAAAAGTAAATACTACAGAAGTGTAAAGAAGAATATAACTCCTGAAGTTTTATAAAAAGTGAATCTATAGGTACATGATATGTCAGGTATATCAGAATTCAAGCAGTTCATTCTCTTCAACAAGCTAGATTGCCTGGAAATGCAACCATCAGTCAAGTGAAAACCCAGCAGAAAAGTTGAGAGAAATCATAGATGATACTCTCGAGTATAATAGAATATCTTGCTAAAAAACACCAGTTGTTTTTTATAAAATCTACATATTGATGGCTCAATCAAATACTGCCACAACTAAAATACTATTATTTCGAGAAATTTCATTTTGAAATTTTGTAAGTCTATTATCATTATTTTGTTTTTGACATACTCTTTATATTTTATTTAAAAGTGAGTTGTTGCATAGTTGTAAAAAATTTGGGTGTTTTTGAAGAAAATAACTCGAATTGATGCAGTTTTAGACACAGTTTGTGGCTACATTTTAAATGATTTATCTTTAAGGATATTTTTGTTTGTGGTGGTATTTAAAGTAAAACCGTAATGATATTTTGCATCCATTGAACCAAAAATGTAATTGCTTTGTTTTTGACTTGTGGCGGTTTTTGATTGAGCCATCGATATATCTACTTTGGAAATCAAGCATAAAATTTGTAAAATTCAAACAAATTTCAATACACTAACATTGGTTGTTTTATTTAAAACAACAAAGTAAGACATATTTTTTAATATCTATATAATTTCCTTTAATTATAATAGGTAAACAAGTTATCAATTTCTTTTTTATTCAATGTATTGAGAAGTAAAATCTTTTTATATAAAAATATAATTTATGCTCTTCTAATAAATTGTCATATTTAGGTTACATTATAGCACTTTATAAATATCTATGCAAAAAAAGTTAAAAGGCTTGATTTAAAAAAGATATATCTCTGCGTCTTAGGTAAGAAATCAGTGAACTTAGCTATCCTCTAGTAATCTAATATAATAATATGTACCTAATCATTGTTGTATTCGTTTATTATTTTTCACCAATCTAGCTTTATCATCGTTCACCATTTAAGGTTTTAGTGAACCTTTGCAATATTGGTACCTTATTATACTATTTAGCTAATTTTGTCCAATCGTTCAGTGCTTTCTAGGTAGCTTCTTCTATCCCACATGTGTACTTGTGTTTGTGATATAAGGTGTGTTCTTTTATTCAATAATTGTTCCATCAGTAATTGATGTAATTTATCTATTCTGCAGTCATTTTATATTTGAACTCTTATATTTTAGGTTAACTTAAATGATTGATTATCCTCACCATTCGTCTATCACATATCCATCGGCTTTTAAAGCCGATGGATGCCTTGGCTCATTGGTGAATTCACCGCTGGAAAAAAGAATGATTGACACATACAATCGTCTTTCCATCACTTAATTTACGAACGGTTTGCTGCAAGCGCTGGATACAGCACTGAATAAAAGAACACACCTACCTCTACTTTTGTGCTATTGGTACTTGATTTCAAGAACATTTTAATAATAAATTTATATAAATATTTTGTTTTATTTGAAATTTTCATGTCTCGATTGAGATTTTACTATAGCCTCAATTTCAGCCTCTCTGTATTACATTACACAATGTGTGTCCACGGATGGACTTAATTATACTTGTAAAAATATTTATTTTAAATTAAAGAAAAAGTTATTTTTCATAATTTCTCAATGTGAATCGAATTTATTTAACAAGCAAGAAATTATGAAGAATTACTTTTTTAATTTAAAATAAATATTTTCACAAGTATAGTTAAGCCCATCCGTGGACACACTGTATAATGCTGTAGATCTAATTCACATTATAACATCAATAGAACGTTTCAGAGCAACTTTCGGGGTAAGTACCGTAAAAGTGCTAGTGTGATGTTTTTCGAACTTCACTTTGTAACTTCCGTGAGATGTGCTATAAAAGTCTTGCCGCTGCGGACATTCGGTAGTTGCAGGGATATAAGGGTTACATTTACAGTACATTGCATGCGAGCTTAAAGAGCCTAAAATTGCAGCTTATTAACGTAGATGGGATGTTTTTGTGCTAGCTGGGATCAGATCGTGTTTAATATCATTTTTTATCTGTTCCTTATTTTTGCTAAAGAATGTCAAACCAGTATCATCTGCAAACAGCCCAATCTTATTACCTTTTAGTGGTAGTTTATAAATGGAGTTGATATAAATTTTGTATTGGACCTTGTGGTACTCCACATACAATATCTGACATATTACTATCCACACCATTTAAATGTACATATTGAATACGGCCTTCAAAGTAGTCTTTAAACCATTCAAGTGACTTGCCTCGAACTCCAATATTTTCCAAGATTCTAAGTAACATGCTATGATTCACAGTATCAAATGCCTTTTTTAGATCCAATGATATAAATATACATCCCAGGCCCTTGTCTCTCTTATCCAGGATACTAGTAATTAAATCAACAACAGCATTAGCAGTACTAGATCTTGGCCGGAACATATATTGACCAGAAAACCAAAAATCATCCTGATCTAGAAAACTACACAAGTTTCTATTATCTTGGATATTTCAGACAATAAAGAGATGGGTCTGTAGTTACTGGACATGGAGCAATTACCACCTTTAAATATTGGAATAACTTTTGCTACTTTAAGAATACTTGGTACAGAGCCAGATGTAAAAGACAAGTTAATAAGAGTACTCAGAATTTGAGATATGTCATTATTGAATTCCTTTAGTATTTCAGCTGTTAGATTATGTTTTCCAGGACTTTTATCTTTCTTCGATGATAAAATTATATATGACTAATTTCTTGACTAGTAGTAGGTTGTAGATTAAAGTTATTTACGTTATATGACCAGGACGGTGCATTCTCAACTGGTTCACATAACTGAGCAAGTTGAGGTCCTATATACTGGTAAAGTAGCTAAGATTGCTTAAACTTTGCACACGTAATACTTATCCCAATACCTTTTTATAGGTAAAACCATTTCCCTCCATCGTCTCCAAGGGGTACTTTACTCTGGTCAATTTTGACCAAATTAGTGCCAGGTATTAGAAAAAACGCGCTAGATTGCTAAAACTTTGCACACGTAATTCTTATCCCAATACCTTTTTGCCAGGGGAATTCATTCCCCCCCCCCCCCCCTCGCCTTCAAGGGATACTTGGCTCTTGTCAATTTTGAGAAAATTATTGCCAGGTACTAGAAAAAACTTGCTAAAACTTCTCACACGTAATACTTATCCCAAGCAATCTAGCGTTTTTTCTAGTACCTGGCACTAATTTTGCCAAAATTGACAGGAGTAAAGTACCCCTTGGAGGCAATGGGGGAAAATGGTTTCACCTGACAAAAAGGTATTGGGATAAGAATTACGTGTGCAAAGTTTTAGCAATCTAGCGCGTTTTTTCTAGTACCTGGCACTAATTTTGTCAAAATTGACAAGAATAAAGTACCCCTTGGAGGCGATGGGGGGAAAATTGGTTTTACCTGGCAAAAACGTATTGGGATAAAAATTACGTGTGCGAAGTTTTAGCTATCTAGCGTGTTTTTTCTAGTACCTGGCACTAATTTTGTTAAAATTGTAAAGAGTAAAGTACCCCTTGGAGGCGTTGGGAGAAAAAATGGTTTCACTTGGCAAAAAGGTATTGGAATGTATATTACATGTCAGAAATATTATTACTCGTTTAGTACCTGGCAGGGGTCAAATTCCAATCCGCAAATTAGACATACCCACTGGTGACATCGTACCCCTTTCATGATGTTCAACTTTATGCAACTCGTTGCATAAAGTAGATCATTTTGACCCTTGCATCGATTACAAAAAACCTTTATATGTCAAAATTAGAAGAAAAAAAAAAAGAAACATTAGGTAATTTAAAATTGTTACATAACTGAAAAAAAGCCAAGCAAATAAGATAATTTAAGAGAATATACCCAGAAAAAACAAATACTTTTAAATTAATTCTGACGAAAACATTAAATAAGCAGAAATTAGTTGTTTGACTTTGATCCAAAAATATTTTAGTTTGAAGACTTTTAAAAGATATTATATTTTACTTACTTGTTTGAAGCTTCTAAAATTGGATCACCTATATTAGAAATCATTTCTGCTGGCCCCCCTTCTGAAACAGTTGCAGCTGTCCTTTGCCTAAGTTCACCAGATTCACTGGACTGCTCATTTCCTTCAACTTTTGCTGATGGTTCCTTTTTATTTGCATCTTCCTCTGCCTAAAATAAAATAGGTTTCGAAACAATGGTTACTTTAATATGTAAACATTCAAGTTAAAATTGTACCAATTGACTAAATTTGTGAATAAGTTGGTATACAAAATGTAGCAAATTATATTATAGAAACATCTTTGAATTACTTGAATAACATTATTATGCATACCTTAAGAGCTATCTGTTTAATCAAGGAAGATTCTTCTTGTGTCAGCTTTGGACTGGCTGCACCTTCAGTGGAATTCAGTTTTTCTGATATTTTACCACATATTGAACATTCCCAATTTTTTGACTTCCTTGCTAAAAGCTGCCTCTCCTCTGGTGTATAATCTAAGGATCCAATTGTACCAGCTGCTGTTGTGGGCATAAAAGCTATAAGGGCCAAAAGTGCAGTACGTATTGACCAGGAAGGTTGCCAACTTTCTGGATGATGACCAGATATTGAAAGACATATTTTTTTATTTACTTCAAATCTTCCATTTGGCTAAAAAATAGAACAACGCCAACGTGTTCAAGATCAACCAATCAACTATACAAAACAATTACAGCTCTTATCACCATATCTGGGTTTTTACTGATTATTATTCATAAATAAAACTTACTGTGAGTAAAATTATGTTCGGGGGTTGCATAGGATATTGAGAAGGTAGTAATATTCTTCCGTGATAGTAACCATTTTCAAAATCGGTACCAGGGGGCCCCCGAACAGTAAAATGCCATTCAAACAGATTATCTTCTAGTGGACAAGCGTAATACTCTTCTGTAGGATTCGCTAATTCTATTGCTTCTCGCATCAATCGTTTCACACCTACGAATTCGACGTTAATGATCATTTAATTTAAAGATTTTTTCTTGGGGCACTTACCAGGACTTTTAAGGTTATATTTACTTTCTAGAGACATATCGATACGTTTTAACAGGAATTTATCGCAAAATTGTCGATTATGAAATCAACTGACGAACGTTATCTGCAACGCTAATGAGAAATTACAGAAATTATCCATTCAAAATTAATAACATGCTAAAAACAAACACTTGTCAAAGTCAGATTCAGCTGATTAGAGTGGTAGGAGGAGCTTAGTTGACAATTAAATACGAAACGTTTTCTCATTGGTTGAAATATTTCTTCTATATTAATTAAATATATGCCTTTTATAAGAGTGTGAAGCCACCAGTAGCAAATGTGGACTTTTACCCCACAGTTAGCCAACAACATTAAATCGATATCTAACCGTGATCTAACCTAAATTTTGTAGTAAATAAATATTCTGTGATAAATATTAAAATGCCTTTAATAGTATTAACAGGCGTCCCTAGCAGTGGGAAAACCACGAGAAGCGAAGAACTGCGCACCTTTCTCAAGGAACAAAACAAAGAAGTCCACCTTGTTAGTGAACATGACCAAATAGTGAAAGCTGGTTTTGACAAAAAGACATGTTACGCTGATAAAGACAAAGAGAAGCATATTAGAGGTATTTTGAAATCTGAGATGATAAAATTATTGTCCCCTAATAGTATAGTTATATTGGATGCTTTAAATTATATCAAAGGATATAGATATGAATTATTTTGTGCTGCAAAAGCAAGTAAATGTACCCAGTGCACCGTTCACACAGAAATAAATAGAGAGGAAGCTTGGAGTTTTAATGAACTTCGAGAGAATGATGCTGAAAAATATGATAGGGAAACTTTTGATGCATTGGTCATGAGATATGAAGATCCTGATGGTAAAAATCGATGGGATGCCCCATTATTTACAGTTTATCCTGAGCGGGAAATGGATAAAGAAGGAATTTATGCTGCTTTGTTTAAAAAGAAGCTGCCAAAGCCCAATATGTCTACACAAAATCCTCCACTCAAAGCTACAAACTTTTTGTATGAATTAGATCAGATTACTAAGAAAATTGTAGATGGTTTGATTTTAGAAATAAAGAGAGGTGCTACTGGTGACATTAAAATTAATGGTTACGAAGATCTGAGCTTAAATATTTCAAATATTAGTATCCCAGATCTTATAAATTTTAGGAGGCAGTATGTCAATTACTCCAAGTCACATACACCTGATCCTCATACTATACCTAAACTTTTTATACAGTATTTAGCAGCAAATTTGTATAAAGGATAATTAAAATTATGTTAGACATTAATCATTATTGTATTTATTAAAAATCTTGTACACATGTTTAGTTAATCCACTTTTATAATACCTAATTATAAACTTAACTGAAAATAATATAATCTAATCCTTCTTTAAGATTTAAACTTTTTAAATTTTCTTCAAAAGCTCCACCTGTTAGGTCCATTTTGACACAAACGACTAAAGGTGGTTCAGCATCTTTAAAATAAATAATATCTACACCTCTTTTAGCCTCTTTAGGCTTTTTATGATCATAGGGAATATATGTTTTCCCAATTTTATTCTTATCTACATCACAGAAAGCTAAAACTTTATTTTTATTAGACTCTGATAAAGAGTTGTATAATTTTTTACCCTGTTTACCAGCATTCCAAATAGTAAAATGAGTCCATTGGCTTAGAATTGTTTTTTGTAATCGTTCCACCCTCAAATCCCAAATTGTATTTCTAAAAATGGAAAAAAGTAAATATCTTTACATACAGTGCTGGCAAGATTAAACCTTTGGTCCTGCTTTACCTGTTAGAGTGAATAATAAATTCAGTTCATACATGCAGGAAAAGAAGCGACACAGTATGCAATGTTGCAATTTAAATGCATTAAATAACAATGACATTAATACATACTTTTCTCTCCTATGCATGTGAATGTCAGTTACTATTAAGTTCAACACATGCAAAGGTTTGGTCTTGCCAGCACTGTATATGAAGTTTATATTATTCCTACTTGTGTATTGAAAAAGTGGTTTGTCCAGTATGAAATGTGTATATTAATAGACATTCATCAACTCTAAATATCTTTCCACCAAAATCCAAATGTTTATAGAAAAATATTAAATCTTCAGGTGTGCCTTTTTCATTTTCAACAAACCCACCAATTCTGAAAAAAATATTTCGTTTCAAACAATAGTTTTAAGACAAAACTGATTTACCTATCAAATGTATTCTTATGCAAAAACCATGTAGGCATTATAACTGTAGGTCCATGAGATGTAAACACTTGCAAATTTAGCTGATCTTGAGTCAAAGAATTAGCCCATTTTGTGAATCTAATTGTAGAACCATCTGGATTTCTTTCAAACTGACTTCCTACAATCTACTTTGAAAATAGTGATAAAAGAAAGCAGTTTTTAATAAATACATACTGTGATATCTGTGCAATTACGAATAGCTTCATATTGTTTTTGAATCCTATTTGGCAGCATTATATCATCCTAAAATGGTGTCCTTATATTTTAAAGTTAAAATAATAATTATTTATCTACTTACAACATCTTGGAAACATAAAAATTCTCCTGTACTTAAAGAAACTGCCTTATTTTTTGAATACCCAACTAAAACATGTTTAATTCAACTACGAATTTGAAATAGTAAATCTGATTTTACCTCCTCCAGGAGTTCCATTGGTGTTGTTAAATATTTTAAAGACTACACCCTGTTCTTGAAAATCACTTTCCCAATTTTTCAATAATTTTAAAGTATTATCAGCGCTGCTATCATTGCAAATGCATACTTCCAGTCTTAGATTAGGATTATTAAGTGCCGTTTGTTTTAAAATGCTGTGAAAACAAGCATCTATCCATTGAGCCCCATTGTGAATTGGTACAATAACACTCTAGAAAATTATACATTTAATTATCTATAAATCGTTAGTTTTATTTTGTTTCATACTATTAACGTATTTTCTGTAGTCATTCGAGATTTTCTTTTTCATTACGACGAAATTTGGCCAAAACCAAAATAAAACTGTAATGTAACATGATGTAACAGGCCATTAAAATTAAATACTTTCTTCTTTTTAATTATATTTTTGATCTTTTCTTAGTCTAGAAATAAGTGTAGATGCAGTAACAAACAGATCGTAGTTCCTATTTTTAAAAAAAGAAGATTCTTCTTTTTCTTGTCTGAGATCATTTTCAAGTTAGAATTGTGTTCTAAATTGCAGATCCAAATAATTGTTTGAGATAAGCCCCCTAATTTTTTAAAGAAACGAAAAGAAGCCTATTAATGACACTAAACGTCATTTTGACATTTTTTGACTGATCCTCGTATTTCGTATTCATTTCATGTCTTGTGACGTGTCTTTGCGTGGCACTTGCGGTAAATTTTGATTGTTGTAAATGTAGTTTAGTGGGGAAACCTTATCCTTTTTGATGTAAGAGGTGGCGGAGATAAGTTAATCTAACATACGTTGACTGTTTAGTAACTCATAAACACAATATAAAATTACAAAAAAAAATGGTAAAACCTGTAAGAAAATCAAGTACTAAAAATCCACCTATTTTGAGTCATGAATTCATCATTCAGAATCATGCAGACATCGTATCATGCGTTGCTATGGTTTTTGTGGTCGGGCTTATGGTCCAAGTAAGTAATTCGTGATTTTGTGACTTAAATCTATGCTAATTTCTATTTTATCAGAACATTCCTTTTTTTAATGGAGGAAGTAAATTAATAATTTTTTCAAACTATTATTAGAGTTTGAATTGGAATACTTTAAAAAGCTGTTGATCTATTATGTTTTAAATTATAAGTTATAAAAAGTATATCTTTGATTGTTAATTAATTGCCTCTGAACTTTTATAAATAAAACATATGGTTGTAATTGAAATTTATTTTTTAGGCTACAACTCCAATTGCTTCATTGTTCATAACACTGCAACATAATGTAACACAAGCTGGTGAGATTCCATTATACAGTCCTGGAGTAAAAGATTGGGCTTGTGTATTTTTTTACAGCTTAATATGTATTGTAATACATGCTATTATTCAAGAGTATGTTCTTGATGTAAGTATTCATTTAAATTGATTAATTAATAGTTCAATTTAATTTGGTTTTAAATATTTTCAGAAAGTTTCCAAAAAATTACACCTCTCCAAATCAAAATTGGCAGTTTTTACCACTAGTGGTCAACTGTCAGTATTCTACTTAGTATCTGCATTGTGGGGTTTAGACATCATTGTAAAAGAAAACTTCGCATTTGACATTGCCAGATTGTGGGTGGACTATCCATCACCCATGCCATTTTTGACTAAATTGTACATCATTGTTCAGTTAGCTTATAATCTCCATGAGATTCCAGAGTTGTACTTCCAAAAAACTAAAAAAGAAGAATACATTGGGAAGGCTACTCAAAGTATTGCAGCTGTAGCACTCATCTATGTACCTTATTTCTTAAAGTAAGTATTTTTTTTTGTTTCATGGCTATTGTAGTTTATATTAGCCTGGACATGTTGGAGTTTTTACTGTGTCCAGGTGTGTCCTGGCATGTTTTGCATAAGTATTTGGATTTTGTCTTATCTTTAACAGCAACAAAAATGAAATAATGAACTTTTTTTGTTTTAACCTATTTAACCTTTTAACTTTGTGGTTTATGAAATAGAAGTTTTTTTTGTTATATTAGTAAAATGAAATTAGTAACATCATGTCATTATGTAAATAATGTAACCTTTCTTACTTTTTCAGAAGAAATTTTATATCGTCTCAATTTTGTCTGAATATTTTTATAAACTTGGCCTGGTATTTTACCTTAGACTTAAGTTTTTTGTCAGTAATTCTAATATGTGACTCCTTTGTCTATTCCACTTCTTACCACATACTTGCATAACTTTACCTCCTGCATATATCACCTTTCATGTGGAAAAGTACGATTTGAATACATACACGATTTAAATCATTTCTTGAGAATTCCAAAATAAAAACCTTTATTAACTCATTTATATGTCAAAATTTGCTGTGGGAATTTTTCCATGATTGCATTTTCTAATCCAACATTTTTACTCTTGTTTTAGCTTTAATAAGTTGTTGGTTTCCCTATTGGTTCTACACCACATATCAGAACTGTTCTACCACATTTTCCAACTCATCCAAACTGTAGATAAGGATGAAAAGTTCACAAAAGGTAATATGACCCAGGTGTTTGTTTTCATGTTTTACAACCAAAATATCTTGTATTTTTTTAGGAACTACATTGATTTCCAACATTTTGCAACTTTCTGCCCGACTTGGTAGCATTATTTTGGCCATTTTGACCTTGTATTATGGATTAGCTCAAGGTGAACAACGTGAGCTTGATCTACAAGCTGGCTACTTCAATACTTCTGTTGTCAGACTTGCTGTTTTGGCTGGAATCTTGATACTCCAAATGTAAGTTCAACTTTCTATAGACTAAGAATGTATTTAGTATTGGTTTGTTTTGTTTTTCAGGTATTTAACTTTCAATGTCATCCACCAAGAGATTGCCAGATCAAGGGAAAGCAAAGTAGCAGCTGTAGTTACCAAATCCAAGACTCAAAAGAAAGAAAAATCCAAGAAAAGTAAATAAATTGCCAACGACAACTGTCAAAATAGTTCATTGTTGACGTCTGTCAAACAAAAATGTTTACATGCTTTTGACAGCTGTCAAACTAAAGTGCTGACATGTCAAATTTATTGGGATTAAAATTGATTTATGTTTTGTTTTATAGGCAAAAAAACTGAAGAATCCGACTTACCAGAAGTAGATCAAAACACAAACAAGACTTTGAAGAAACAAAAAGTGAAATAAACATTTTAACTATTAGTTTTTTCTGTTATCATTGTTGTTATTTTTTGTCCGACAAGTACTAGTTTTAAAACTTTATTATCCTTGATCCATGTCACATTTTTTCATTAACATTTTTTTTTCTTGTTAAAATTGCTTTTCAAAGGTTTATTTTCATGTTGAAAAGGTTTAATTTAAGTATAATATATTTTTTTATTGAAGTACAATGTAAGTTTGTGAAGTCCCTCCATCTATGAAATTGAATAAATTGTTAATTGAAAAAAAAAAAACCTTTTTATTCATTAATCTTTCAAACAATACAAAAAAATGCAATGCATGTATATATGGTCTGGTTTATATCGTCTGGATTAACCAGTCGATAGTTTTGACTGATTTTAATTAAATTTCACATCTTGTTGACAACTTTAGGAGGTGTCTTTTGGACATGTTATAGTCGAGAGGCTTGCTCACAGGACACTTCTTCGATTAGTTTTCCCCACAAAAAATATGGTAGATATTTTGAATATTTCTAAAAAAAATTGATAATTAAAAGTACAACTTTTTATCTATTTTTTGTATGTTACTTTGTTTTTGAGAAAAAAATTAAAACTAACAATTTTGCCGTATTTGAATACCCGAACCCTATACAATAAAAAGAGGAAGCAAAATTGAATTGTAGTTTATTGGACAAAGTACCTTTTTTATCGATATCTTGCCGCGTTTGAGAATCCACATCTGAGATGTAATAAATCTTTGATCACGTGATTCAGTATACGTAAATGTAATGGGACAGATGTGTCCGATGTGGATAAAAAACGCTCGAGATGTAAAAAATTCATCCGATGTGGATTTTCAAACGCGGCAATAGTAAGCTCTGGTGAAATCCTGACGATATAATATAAACGACCACCCTGTAGAATAGAAATTGGCTGTATTTCCTGTTGTGGCCTCGGCATCAGGTGACGTTTGGTAGCTGGATAATAACATAATTACTAATCTAAAAAAGAAGTAGATATTTAACTGTCAGGATATTTGTCACGTTTGACATGTTGACAATTAATCCGATGATTTATCAAAAATAATTGTTTTCTAAAATATTAAAGAAGTTAAATTATGTCAGCACCAAATCCTTTTACAGCGCTGTTCGAAAATGAGGAAGCCAGAAGCTCGACAAACGTTAAACTTAATGATATTCTAGAAAACATATTTGGGTTTTCGATAAATCCAAAGAACAGCAATAATTTAAATGTCTTGTTTTTGGAAGATGTTCATAAGGTACATGAGAAAGACGATTTAGATTTAGGTTTATTACAGTATGCCTTATTTGAAAGACTATTTATGTGTAATGAAAACTCGGATTTGAGGAGCGATAGTGATAGCTTGCAAGAAACTAAAGTCATAACATATTTGTTCAATTGTCTTCAAAATTTGTATAGCCACAAGGAGCAGCTCAGTTCAGAACAATTCACAGATGTATATGATAAGATATTTCAAAATGTTTCCACTTCTATTATACAACCAGATATGTATTCTGGTCAGAGTATGGCTGAGGATATGCTCAATGTTGTGAAAGATGCTGAACTTGGAGCTGATGAATTTTTTGTAGAAGCTACTAAAAGAGTATACCAAGAAGATAATGGTAAATATTAAATATTTTAAACATCAGTTTATTTTATTATTATTATTTTAGGTCCAGAATCCTTGAAAACATTCATAGAAAATATCAACCAAATTTTAGTAAAGGAGCTAGTGAAATGTAGCCTTACAGACACTAGCTTAACAATATTTAACTATTTACAAGTTATATCTAGTAATGAATTATTAGCAGAAATGTTCATAGAAAGCAATTTTCCTAAGAAAATCAACGTAGGTTCAGAATATGCCCATACTGTTATTGGTGCTATTTTGAATCATTCTGTACTTCCTAAAACACCAGTTGGTAAATATGAACATTTTACTAACCCAATGGACCAAGTAAGTACATTATTTAACTTAATTTGAAGCAATTTTTGAACAATAACAGATTTTTGCATAAAAGTAGTAAAGTCAATGTTACTAACAATAATTCAAAAAGAGAAATAATAACTCCCTTTGATAGAAGTGATTTTTTAAGCTAAATAAAAATTGTAAACGAATGAAATAATTTCTACAAATTCATTGAAATATTTATTAATTAAAAAAAAAGTTGCAGACACACTAAAAGTTATATCAATAAATATAATGGATGTTGATTGCAATTATAACTTCTATAAAACACAGAGATGAGATGAAGAAACAACTTTAAAAAAATTATTTTAATACTGTATTGAAAACTGAATATAAACTATAGCTAACCATTTAAATAAAATAATTATAAATGCAAAAATCTGTATTACAAATCAAATTGAAGACAGTAAATTTCATGTAAAAAAGTATATGTAAAAGAAGCTATAAATGAATCAAAAAATCCAATGAAAACATAAATGTGTTGGATGCAAATGATAAAGAAATTAACAATGATAAAAAATGGCTAATTCTTGAATTGCATATTTTTCAAAAGTACGATTGAACATGGCTAAAAGAAAGGGTTAGCTTTTTAAATAAAGTTGATATTAATTATCCAGCACTCACAGATGGCCTTAATTTAAGTTAACAAAAATTAATTGATTTTAATTGAAGATATACACTCTTTAAAAAACAGCAGCACTCTTGGAATGATGAAATAAGTACGAATCGAAATTAGTAAAGATCTATTATTCCTACAATAGGAGCTTTCTTTTTAAGGGTTTAATTTCTTGGTGTATAAAATCCTATGACGTCAAAAAAGAAGGACTGACAATGGTCTACAATTTGCAAAACAAGAATTCTGTGCATCCGCTTCAGAGCAAGTGCTTGAGGGAAGAAGGGAGAACTGGTAGGAGTTGCTCCAGATCAACAAGCACTGTTAAAAAAGAATGTTCAGTTACAGTCAGGAACAGCTCTAGTACTGTTTGCAAGTAACCCAGATGACATAAAAATGCTTGTTGATCTGGAGTAACTCACACCAGGTCTCCCTTCTCTCCTCAAGCACTTGTTCAATAGCGGATGCACAAAATCTTATCTTGTCAATAATTTTAAAACATCAATTGTTCTATTTTAACATCATATGGTTTCATACAGCAAGAACATTTAAGACTTAAAAAGAAAGCTCCCATTGTTGGGCCTCTTAAACAGATAAATTTAATTTTTGAGACTGTCAAAATACCCAGTGTTCTTAAATGAACAATAGAAACACCTATTTTTAGCAGGGAACTAAAAAAAAATATTTTGATATATAATGATATATCAAGCATTATTTGAATCGTTAATAAGATATGGAATAAATGTAAGGGGTGGTTTATATGAAAATGCATTAGAACCACTCAATATAATACAGAATTACAATCTCAAAATAATTATAAGAATAGACTATTTTCAACGAGACTATTCTTAATGTCAGATCAATATATTTTCACACAAGTTGTGTGTTGTTTTTAAAATTAAAACAAAAATATAAATCACACATATCTTAACAGGTGTGAAATTATCCACATTCAAAAAGTACACTGAGAAAAATACAGCTCCATTGTAATAGTCTTATAACTTGGTTCAAATGACATGTAGAGGCTTTTAATTTGCAGATTTCAATTGGGGAGGTTTCAGTACATAACAACCATACCCGCAATTAACATTTGCTCCGTCTGAGGGGGTTCAATTGGGGGTGAAATTTAAACAAAAACATAGAAGCCACACATGACATTGTACACCTTTCAGCTTGGAATATGTTATGTAGTTTGCTATTTTCTTCATCCCTGATACCATGTCGGAGTTTGTCGAGCCGTCTGAGGGGGTGAAATTGGTGGGGAAATTTAACAAAAATCATAAAGCCACAAATGCCTTTGTACACCTTTCTGCTTGGGATATGTTATGTAGTTTGCTCTTTTCTTCATCCCTGATACCATCCTGGAGTTTGTCGAGCCGTCTGAGGGGGTGCCATTGGTGGTGAAATTTAACAAAAAATCATAAAAGCCACAAATGGCTTTGTACACCTTTTTGCTTGGGATATGTTATGTAGTTTGCTCTTTTCTTCATCCCTGATACCATGCTGGAGTTTGTCGAGCCGGCTGAGGGGATGCAATTCATGGTGAATTTTTTTTTAATGTCACCATCAATTGCACTTTCAAGAATTTTTAAAAATTTCGTTTTATCAATTCCACTCTGATTACTCTCTACATTATTGTTTTCTTTTAGTGCTGCCTGACGAGTATTCATACATTTTGAAAAATCAACATTATTTGCATTAAATGGAAATATGCCACATGCCCTGAAGGCGTTTTGTATGATTTCAATTTTACTGGCATTTTTAAATGCTTGTGCAAAAATAGGTGCAAAAGATACTTTGGTTAGAGATTTTCTTGTTTCTTGTTTATATTTCTGACACTGCTTCCTCCAGAATACTTTTAGAGGTCTAAAGATACCAACATCACATGGCTGTAATATGTGTGTAGCATTTGGTAGTAGACAATATAAAATAATTATTTTTCTCGGCAAAAAGTGGCTGGTTCAGGACTGATATGTGACTTAAGTTCATCTAGCAAAAAGAGAACAGGCAATTTTATGTTATTATCTAACAGCCATGGATAGAAATTATTTTCCACATACTCAAAAAATGTAGGACCAACCATCCAACCTGTATCACTTCGACCAATATAAAAATTATCAGGGATAGAGTTAGCAATGTCTCTAGGTATTCTTTTGTATGGATATATTATAAGTGTTGGAGCTACTTTTCCATTGGCAGAAAAATTTGCTAATACAGTCAGGCACTCTTTTTCTTTTCTGACAGCAACATCATAAAAATTTCTAAAATATTTTGGCCCTGGCACCTTTCCTGTTTTGGGGCATAATTGCACTCCAGTCTCATCAGCATTATAGACCCGATCAGCATCTTCAAGAACATCAACAGCATCTTCTATTTTTTTTTTGTGTCTTTCTATTAAATAACTTTTAAGATTCTGAAACCACTTTCTGATATCTTGCTTTAGCTTTGGAAATAATTTCAGCATTTTTTCCCAATATCTGGCTTTACTTTTAAAAATCCTGTTAGTCATTTATCACCGGGACGGTTGTTGTTGAATGGATTAGGACGCTGGGTTTCTTCCATTACCTTTTGTACGGCATCTTTCACTTCATCTGGATGCATAGGAAACCCAATTTTTGCTTTTTGGATTATCCAATTCTCCAACATATCTTCTTTCTGAGCAGTCAAGATTCTTGGTGGGCCCATCTGTCTTACTGAAACATCGGATTTTTCATGCAGTTTATTAATTAAAGTGGCTTTTGGAATTTTAAATTGTTTACTGGCTTTAGTAGCACTAATTCTTCCTTCTTTGACTTCTGTCACTGCAGCTTTTAGAACTTCAATGGAATACTTAAATCTTGTATATGTTCTTTTGGGTGCTTCTGTCATCTGAAAATAAATGTTACACAATTGCTTTATTGCACAAATAATATTTTAATACATAAACAGCAAAAAGTCATTGACTAGGCTAAATATCCAGTGAATGACCAGAAGAGCATGTAGATAATAAGAGTGGTCATCTATAGGCCAGTCGATTCCCTCATTATTTACAATGCTTGCATAAAATAAGCATCCATATAGTGATTATTATTATCAAAACAAATTATTTTAAAATTCCCGCCAACTCAGTAAATGACCACATTCGGCCATTCACTGAATTTCTCAGCTTTAGCATTACCTATTCATTGCGTTCAGTCTGCCAAGTTCCTTTAACTCCTTTAACACTTTTTACTCCAAACGTCCCTTTTAGCGTTCATTTAGTCCGATTAGTGACAGTTTAACACGCTTAAATGTCATTTAAAAGCACCCTAAAAAACTCCGCTTTTGTCCCGCTCCAGCCCCTGACTATCTGAACTCGCCTATTATTGACCATTTAAAAAATAAATTCTTTTTGAGGTTATATTAGTATTACAGCCTAAAAAATACTAAATTTGATCTTGTTTCATGCAGATTAGTCCAAATAACATAACAGTTTTACAACTTTAATACATATTTTTTACAAAATAAAAAACACTTAGCTCTACTTACCTTAATTACTTGTGGTTACTTGAGAAGGAAACAAAACACATGTACTTTTAACTGACATTTGTAAACTGCCGATTATGAGCAGTGTTGTCAAATGTATAAAAAAAATTGAGAATTAAGTGAGGATCAATTTGCTGTATAATATGATGCCTTAGGTTATTAAAAATTCTTAATTAATCATAAATCAGTAAATATTGGCCATTTACTGGGACATGGTCAATAACCAGACGGTTCACCCTACAAAGCTATTTGTGGCTTCTATGATTTTTTTAAATTTCACCCCAATTGCACCCCCTCAGACGGAGCAAAAGTTAATTGTAGGTATGGTTGTTTTGTATTGAAACCTCCTCAATTGAAATTTGTAAATAAAAAGCGCCTACATGTCATTTGAACCAAGTTATATGACTATTACAATGGAGCTGTATTTTTCTCAGTGTATATTTCGGGATGTGGATAACTTTACACCCGTTATATCTTACCAGGTGTAGAAGCAAAAAATGTTAAATATTCTGTTCTCCATATATTATGGGAACCAAAGATTTATTACAGTCGTAGGACCAAAAATATTCGATGTTGACCAAAAAAATAATTTCATAAATTCAAAAATTTCATCAGTAGTAATTATTATAAAAAATTCTCAACATTGCTGTAATGCTTACTTTCAGATCTATATACAGTGTCGGCCCCTGAACGTTTTCCAATACACTTTGCACAAGTGTATGTCAAAACTACTTAGAGCCAACAGTAAAGGAATAATACCAGCATTGACAGTTTATGCAGCCTGTATACGTTGTAACGTTGGTCAGGCCGTATAAACTGGCAATGCTGGTATTATTCGTTCCCTGTTTGCCCTAATGCTAATGTGGGATCTTTAAAATATATTCATCCCATCATAAATAAATACATTATCGTTGTAGATGTATAAAGTATATTAAGAAGAAAAAATTACTTGTCATGTATAAAATTAAAAGTCATGATTATAAAATAAACAATGTTGTTTCCCTCGCGATGAGTTCAACCTTTTGTCTTTGCTAGAACTGCCACGAAAGATTGTCTAAATGATGACAACAATTTAATGCATATGATGTAATTAAAATGATAAAGATATGTAGTGCATGTCGCTACAGCTATTTGTAGTTTTCACATCCACTTGTGCAAAGCATATTGGAAAACGTTCGATAGCCGATACTGTATAAATTTTTACTACTAGTAAAAAATCACATTTGTAACTTCTTGTTGCATCTAGTTGCAACTAATCGAAGGTCTAATTAATAAATTATAATTTGTAGATTATATATTATTAAAATATAATCCTTTATTTCTAGATGGGTAACGCTGGTACTGAGGAGTATCTGTGGGTGTATCTTGAAAAGCAAAACCAGAACCTGCATAGATTTTTCTTGGCAATGCTTAAGTGTGGCCCTAAAGTGAAAGAAAAAACATTACTGTGGCTGGGAACCTGTTTGAAAACCAATGTCAATAGGGGTAAAATTTGGAATACACATGCTCCAGAGTTAAACCCAGCTATATATACGAATGTTACTGATGGTTTTGTTTTAAATTTAAGTAATCTATTGCTGAGTCTGTGTCAACCGTTTTGCAGCAGAGTTAAGGATGAGAGAGTATTAAAGGTTGATCCCACATATTGTGCTGTACCTGTAAGTCAAAAAATATATAATATGTAGATCATAGAAATAATAGTTTGTTCATTTTCAGAATGAAGATATAGAACAAAAAGGCATTCACATGGGAGATATGGCTAGCGAAACCTGTTTCTTACCAGTTTCCTCTGATGACCAACTTGAAGAAAAGCGTTTGATGGCCAATACTTATAATTTTGTTACAGAATGTTTCTTCATGGCTCACAGATCTTTGGATCTTGGGTACAGGGTCGGCGTCGACAAAATTATTAGGCAAAATCACGTAAGAATAAAGTGTCAATATATTTATCTTCTATTTGTTATTCAATTTTATGCTTTCATATTTTTCTCGTTCTGGGGGGCTGTAGCCTCCCATCCCTTACATACAAGCCACCACTGAATATAAATATAATTTTATTATTAAAAAATAGAAGGGAATAAATTATATTTTAGTATAAAAAAGTTTTACTTTTTTACAGCACAGGTATTAAATTAAAAATAGATTTACTTGTTTTATGTATTTTACTAATATTAAAGAAAAATATTAATTCTGAGTTTTAACAAACGGCACATTCTTGAATATTTAATTCCTAAAAATTATTTCTTAGATATAATAAAACAAAAAAACAATTAACAATATAAGAATATTTTTAAACCACTATTTATATCTAATTATTAAGACTCTTCAAGTTTTTCACTCAAAGTGTTTTTCAAAAAACATCCAGGATGGAGATTTAACTGTAACAGTCTTCTATACCCAAGGTCGATTACTTTTCATTACTTTTCACTACTTTTCCGGACATGTCCGTCGGACTAGTCCAAAAATTACTATCCATGAAAAGTCCATTCATCATTGTCAATTCTGTTTCTCAATTTAAAGTTTTAATTAGGAAATGGGTAGAATCCAGAGAGCTTTCAATGACGCTCTACAACAAGCCGGCGGCAATTCCGATTTGGTAGGAACAATTAAGGACAGAATGAGCGAAGAGTTATCAAAGTAAGTACTTTTACTTTCTAAACTCCCATTTATTTAATTTTGTCAACTTTTTAGGTACTTATCCTTGAAGTGCGCCTTGTCCAATCCAGATATGTTAGAAAAATTATTCAATTTGATATCGGCAACGTCTTATTGGCTATGCCAGGTTTCGGTGCACCAAGACAGTCCGGACTCAACAGCTTTTGCGCCCTTGAAAGAGTCGCCTGTAACTTTTCCTTTAGATACCAGAGTTCCTGATACATTAAAGTATAATAAAATGATCAATACAATATTTCGTTTATACATTTTGACTTCTTTTTAGATGCATTCCAGAATTTATAGTCGAAAACATAGTGTCATTCCTAGTATTTGTACGCCGGTTCACGCCTAAAACCTTCGAAGAGGAAGGTTATGATAAATTGAGTCCCATTTTGTCTTTTATCCTGGTTTATATGGGGTCTCGAAGGCATATGAAGAATCCCCACGTTAGGGCGCGATTAGCGGAAGGTTTAGAGTCTCTGTTGCCGTTCCACAAGGACGAGCCTCTAGGGATTAGCGTGGGCGGAGCTCAGAGGAAGAGATTGTTCACGGATCATCCTCATAATATGAAGGTAGGCTCTAAATGAAATTTTAAGACAAAATTATTTATCATGGCACTTTTATTTGACATAGTCTCAAAATGCAGAACTTCGAGTCTAATGTATTAAGATCCGAGTGATCACATTGAAAAATTGGGTCAAAATAATAACTCTTTAGTTAGGCGACTATAAAAAATACGTTTTTCATCGCTTAATGGGAAAGTAAGATTTTTTAGACACTAGAACAGGTTTAATTTTATCTCGGAGCTAGAAAATAACTCGTTCTTTGATTAGTAGACAAAATAAAGTTGTTTCAATCGCTTAAATAAGCTTCTGAGCTGCTAGGATTTGAAAAAGTACCTTGGGACCAAGAAATAACATGTTTTCAGTCGGGCGACTAGAAAATATCGTATTTTTTAGTCGCTGGACACAAAGTTAAGGTTTATTTATGACCAAATATTTTTAAACTAGAACATAAAATAAGAACATTTTAAGTGCTGAAACAATTTTCCTGCCTTCAAACTAAAAGTAAGATATTTTCAATTGTTTTTTTTTTTACAAAAAAACTAGAAAATAACACTTTATGTAAATTAGGTACTAAATGAACATTTTTGCGTAAGTTTTGAAACAAAAACGATTTATCATAGCACTAATATTTGGCAACATCTCAAAATCCACAATTTATTAAGATTCAAGTGATCACATCGGAAAATCGGAACCAAATTACAATTTTTTAGTTAGGCGACTAATTAAAAGACGTTTTTGATTTTTTGATCATAAGATCAGAAAAAAACTTTTTCAGTCTCGTGACTAGAAAATACCACGTTTTTTAGTCGCTAGACAGAAAGTTAAGGTTTTTCGTTCCTAGGACCAGTAATTCACACGGTTTTTAACGAGAACTAGAAAATAACAAAAGTTTGAGGTGTTTTTTTGTCCTATCTAACCAGAAAATTAAACGTTTTTTCATTCTGGGGCCGAAAAATAATCTAGAGACTGGAAAATGGAACCTTTCTCTTCAGCTATGTTGGCCAAAATTAATGGTTTTGGTCCTAAGGTCAAGAAAATATTCCTTTTACAAGGTACAAAAATTCAAGTTTTCAATCCATGTTTAGAATAGAAGGCATTTTTAAACTGATGGCAATTTTTTTCGGTCCTAGGACCATAAATATACCAAAAAAATTTATTATGAATATGAATTAAAACGTTTTTAAAATTCGAACTAGAAAATACTACAAGTTTGAGGTGTTTTTCGGTTTTAAAACCAGAAAATTAGACGTTTTTTATCCTGAAACTGAAAAATGAGTTTTTTAATCTGGAGACTATAAAATTAACTTTCTTTTTGACCAACCGTATTGGCCAAATTAAATGTTTTAGGTTTTAAGATTAAGAAAATATCGCTTTTTTATATAAGGTCAAAAAATGCAACTTTTCAGTCCGTGTTTAAAAATTAAAGCATTTTTTTAAACTGATGGCAAACTTTTTCGGTACTAGGAACATAAATATACCAAAAAATATGAATATGAATTAACACGTTTTTAGAATCCGCACTAGGAAATACTACAAGTTTGAGGTATTTTTCGGTCTTAAAACCAGAAAATTTGACGTTTTTTTTATCCTGAAACCAAAAAATTAGTTTTTTAATCTGTAGACTTAAATTTACGTTTTTTCTTCAGTTGTGTTGGCCAAATGAAATGTTTAAGGTCTTAAGAAGAAAATATCGCTTTTTCATACAAGGTCAAAAAAAAATGCAGTTTTCATTCCGTGTTCAAAAAAGAAAGCATTTTTTAAACTGAGGACTAACTTTTTCGGTCCTAGGACCATAAATATACCAAAAAAATTATGAATATGAATCAACACGTTTTTAAAAACGGAACTAGAAAATACTACAAGTATGACTTGTTTTCCGGTCTTAAACCAGAAAATTATACGTTTTTTTTTATCCTCGGACCGAAAAATAAGTTTTTAAATATGGAGACTATAAAATTAACGCTTTTTTTCTTCAGATGTGTTGGGCAAATGAAATATTTTAGGTCTTAAGATTAAGAAAATATAACTTTTTTTATAAAAGGTCAAAAAAATGCATCTTTTCAGTCCGTGTTTAAAAATGAAAGCATTTTTTTTAAACTGAGGGCAAACTTTTTCGGTCCTTGATCATAAATATACAAAAAAAATATGAATGTGAATTAACACGTTTTTAGAATCCTATCTAGAAAATACTACAAGTTTGAGGTATATTTCGGTCCTAAAACCAGAAAATTCGACGTTTTTATCCTGAAACCAAAAAATAAGTTTTTTAAATCTGTAGACTATTAAATTAACGTTCTTTTCTTCAGCTGTGTTGGCCAAATGAAATGTTTAAGGTCTGAAGAAGAAAATATCGCTTTTTTTTATAGAAGATAAAAAAAATGCAAGTTTTCATTCCGTGTTTAAAAAGAAGGCATTTTTTAAACTGATGGATAACTTTTTCGGTCCTAGGACCATAAATATACCACAAAATCTGTTATGAATATGAATCAACGCGTTTTTAAAAACAGACCTAGAAAATACTACAAGTTTGATGTCTTTTCTGGTCTAAAAGCAGAAAATTATAGGTTATTTTTTATCCTGGTACCGAAAAATAAGTTGTTTAATCTGTAGACTATAAAATTAACGTTCTTTTCTTCAGCTGTGTTGGCCAAATGAAATGTTTAAGGTCTTAAGAAGAAAATATCGCTTTTTTATACAAGGTCAAAAAAATATGCAAGTTTTCATTCCGTGTTTAAAAAAGAAGGCATTTTTTAAACTGAGGGCTAACTTTTTGGTCCTAGGACCATAACTATACCAAAAAAATCTATTATGAATAGGAATCAACACATTTTTAAAAACAGAACTAAAAAATACTACAAGTTTGATGTGTTTTCCGGTCTTAAACCAGAAAATTATACGTTTTTTTTTTATCCTCGGATCGAAAAATAAGTTTTTAAATATGGAGACTATAAAATTAACGGTTTTTTCTTCAGATGTGTTGGGCAAATGAAATGTTTTAGATTTTAAGATGAAGAAAATATCGTTTTTTTTATATAAGATCAAAAAAATGCAAAAGTTTTCAGACCGTGTTTGAAATATAAAGCAGTTTTTAATATGAATGCATACTTTTTCGGTCCTAGGACCATAAATACTCTAATACCAAAAATATCTGTTATGAATTAACAACTGTTATATAATTGAACTGGAAAATAACAAGTTTTCGATCCTAAAACCTGATAATTTTACGTTTCTTCAAAAATAAGTTGTTAATTTGGAGGATTAAAACTTTTTATCTTTAGATCTTTAGCTCTGTTTGCCAAATGTAATGTTTTTGGTTCTGATCAAGAAAATGTAGCTTTTTTATACAAGGTGGTCAAAAAATAAGGCGTTTGTTTTTAATAAGAGGGTAAAGTTTTCTGGTCCTAAGACCATAAATATACAAAAAATATCTCACAGATGATCCTCATAATATGAACGTAGGTAGTATAAATGCATTTTTGTATGTTTTGAAATTCCTACATTAATTTCAAAAGAAAACCGTTTTTTTGGCAGCGACTCAAAAACTTAGAGTATAATGTATTAAAATCCAAATAATCACATCGAAAAACCCGAATGAAACGATCTTCAATTTGTTAATTCGATAGGTCTATTCTTTTTTATATTTTTGTAGATCGTAGAAAATTTGATGAACGTTTTCGTCGAGATAGAAATGACAGGCCAAAGTGTGGAATTCGAACAAAAATTCAACTATCGCAGACCTATGTACGCGGTTTTCGATTTTCTGTGGGAATTACCTGAACATTTAGAAGGTTTTAGGTAAAATGAAAATAGCAAATATTCAAATTGAACCGTAATTATTTATATTCATTTTTAGAAAGTTGGCCGAAGAAGCGGAACAAAATATGGAAGCCGTAAATCCACCGTTATTTTTGAAATTCTCCAATTTACTTATCAATGATGCTATCTTTTTACTCGACGAAGCCCTAGCCAATATGGCTAAGTTGAAAGAGATGCAACAAGCTCAGTAAGTACCACATAAAACTATGGGACGTAAATGACAATTTTGACAGCTGAAAAACTAATTTTAGGGATAACGGTGAATGGGCGAACCTAAACCAGAGAGACAGAGCTCAAAATGTCGCCTACTTGCACCACATCGGTAATCTAGCTCGTTTCGATAATATACTAGGCAAAGATACGATAGGGATGCTTGAAAAGCTAACCTCTAAAATTAATCTAGTCTTCACTCACACTACCATGGTCGACAGAATAGCTTCCATGTTGAATTACTTCTTGCTCAATCTCGTTGGACCAAATAAAAAGAACTTTAAGGTACGAAATGCTTTTAGGGTTTTCTCGTAACTTAATTGACAGTTGTCAAATATTGTTTGTTTTTTTTTTAGGTTAAGGACGCCAAAGACTACCACTTCGAACCGGCAGACACGGTATTAGAAATATGTAAGATTTACGTAAATCTAAAAAATAGTGACGCCTTTTGTTTAGCCGTATCGCAAGATGGCCGATCTTATAGCCCTAATCTGTTCGTTTTGGCCGAAGACGTGTTGCTGCGAATAGGCGGTGGTACGCTTATCGGGGAACTGAAAGAAGTGGCTACTAAAGTGGCCCAGAAGGCCGAGGAACAAATGGCGAACGATGAAGTTCTGTCCGAGGCTCCCGAACAATTTTTGGACCCGATAATGTCGACGTTGATGCGCGATCCAGTGATTTTGCCCAGTTCGAAGCAGATCGTCGACAGAAGTACTATCGCAAGGTAATGTTTTAATGTTCCATCGTTATAAGATTTGATGGGTGCCGTAGTATCAGTAATTTTATTTCTGTTGATATGGCATCCAGATTACAAATCGCCATTTTTAAAGTACACATACCAGTTATGAGTTTTTAAATTGCAAGTAAAAATCACGCATTATATAGTTAAAAGGGCATCTGAGTTATTTTTTCGGTGCCGTTCATAAAAATAAGCGAAATATTTATTCTTAGGTCAGATATTAAGACTTTTCTAGCCCGTATAATAAAAAATACGATGTTTTTTTTGTCTCTTGATCCGAAGAGAGCTCTTTATTGGTCCTAAAACAATTATATAACTTAATTTTATCCCGGAACTAGAAACTTGTTAATATTTTTTTTTCAGTCGCTTGGATAAGGTCAGAAAATAATACGTGACCAAGGAATAAATAGTTTCAGTCTGGGAACTAGAAAATAACGCATTTTTAGTCTCTAAATACAAAATTAAGGTTTATTTGAGGAAATTCACTTAATCCGAAGGTATTTTACTTCTTGGCACAGGAACCAGTAAATTACTTTATTTTTATCTCTGAATCAACAAAATAAAGTTGTTTCAGTACCTTAAATAAGGTTATGCGCTCCTTGAGATCCTTGAGACCAAAAAATAAAATGATTTCAGTCCCCCGAGTCGAAAATGCCGCATTTTTTGTCGCTGGACACAAAATTAAGGTTTATCGGTATTATCATCAAAAATAAAAACGTTTGTTTAAACTGGAACAAAAATAAGACAATTTTTCTATTTCAAGGCCAAAAGTAAGACATTTCCAATTGTTGTTTTTTTTTTGTCATAAAACTAGAGAATAACATTTTCTTTGGTTTGAAACAACAAAAAAACACGCATTCGATAGTTAAATGGCAGCCCGTGGTACTTTTTCGGCCCTAATTCAAAAAAAAGGTTTCAATCGGATATACTAAGCCTTTTCTACCCTTCATAACCAAAAATGAGAAATTTTTCAGTCGCTTGATCGGAAGGTTATTTTTTGGCTCTAAACAATTAAACAAGTTTAATTTTATCCCGAAACCAGAAAATAACTCGTTTTTTCCTTCTATACCATAACATAACGATGTTTCAGTCGCTTAAATAGGGTTCTGCACTCCTAAGATTAGAAAATAACACGTTTTTTACCTTGGGACCATGAAATAACATGTTTTCAGTCTGGCGACTCGAAAATACCGCATTTTTAGTCGCTAGACCCAAAGTTAAGGTTTATCGGGACTATGATCAAAAATGAACACGTTTTTTTAAACTGGAACAAGAAATTTAGACAAATTTAGGTTCTGAGACAATTTTTCTATTTTGAGGCTAAAAGTAAGACATTTCCAATTGTTTTTAAATAACATATTATTTTATGTTGAAATAAAAAAACACATTCCAGTTAAAAGGCAACTCTTGTTACTTTTTCGGCTCTAATTAAAAAAAAAAAAAATGTTTCATTCGTATACCAAGCCTTTTCTACCCTTAATAACAAAAAACAAGAAATTTTTCAGTCGCTTGAACTGAAGGTTATTTATTTTTTTGGCTCTGAAACAAGTAAACAACTTTAATTTTTTTTTTCTTTCAACTCTATACAATAAAATAAAGATGTTTCAGTCGCTTAAATAGGGTTCTGTGCTCATACAATTAGAAAATAATAAGTTTTTTACCTTGGGACCATGAAATAACATGTTTTCAGTCTAGCGACTAGAAAATATCGCATTTTTTAGTCGCTTGACACAAAGTTAAGGTTTATCGGTACTATGATCAAAAATTAACTCGATTCTTGAACACAAGAAAATGGGAGATAATGTTTCTACCTTGAATCTAAAAGTAAGACATTTTCAATTGTTTTTTTTTATTGTCATATTACTAGAAAATAACACTTCATTTTATGCTGAAATAAAAAAAAAATATTTTATAGTTAAAAGGTAACCCGCAGTACTTTTACGGTCCCAATTCTAAAAAATAATGCTTCGATCGGATACTAAGCCTTTTCTATTCTTAAAATCAAAAATTAAGAAATTTTTCAGTCGCTTGAACCGAAGGTAGTTTATTTTTTGGTCCTAAAACAAGTAAATAACTAATTCTATCCAGGAACCAAAAAATAACTCGTTTTTTTCATAAGATAAAGTTGTTTCAGTCGTTTAAATAACGTTCTGCTCTTCTGAGATTAGAAAATCATACGTTTTTTACCATGAGACAAACAAATAACGTGTTTTCAGGCAGGCTACTAGAAAATACCGCATTTTTTAGTCGCTAGACACAAAGTTAAGGCTTATCGGTATTATGAACAGAAATTAAAAAGTTTTTTGAACTGGAACAAGAAAATAAGATCATTTTGGGGATGGAGACAATGTTTCTACCTTGAGGCTAAAAGTAAGGCCTTTTCAATTGTTTTTTTATATATAAAATTAGAAAATAACACTTCATGTTGGAATAAAAAATAACAGTTTTTCAGTTAGGCGACTAGAAAAAAGACGATTTCATCGCTTAATTGGAAAGTAAAATTTCTTGGTCATAAGATCAGAAAAATTAATCCAATTTTCTATTTTGGTACAAAAAATTAAATATTTTCAGTATAGCGACTAAAAAATATCGTATTACCGATAAATTTTTGTGTCTGGCGACTTAAAAATACTGCAGTTTTTAGTCGGCTAGACACAGAAATAAGTCTTGTTTTTAACTGAAGCAAAAAATACAATTTTGAGTATTAAGATAATTTTTCTATTTTGTAACAAAAACTAAGACATTTTCAATTATTTTTTGTTCATAAAACTAGAAAATAACACTTTATAACAATTCAAGCGACTAGAAAAAAGACGCATTTCATAGCTTAAACGGAATGTATTTTTTTTTGTAATAAGATCAGAAAAATAACGCAATTTACCATTTTGGAGCAAAAATAATGTACTTTCAGTCTCGTGACTCGAAAATGCCCCATAATTTAGTCAGTAGACATAAAGTTAAGATTTTTTGTTCTTATGATCAGTAATTAGCACGCTTTTTAAATCACAAATAGAAAATAAAAAGTTTTAGGTGTTTTTCGATCTTTTTTTATCTTGTGACCGAAAAATAAGTTTTTAATCTGGAGACTATAAAATTGACGCTTTTTTTTTTTCATCTGTTGGGGTCAAATGTAATGTTTTTGGTCTGAAAACCAAGAAAATATCTTTTTTTTTTTATGTATATACAAGGTAAAAAAATGAAAAGACCAAGAAATGTTACTTTTTTATATGGTCAAAAATAAGGGTTTTTTAATGAGGATAAATATATAAAAAATTTAAATTCTTACTTATTAAATATCACAGTAAAAAAATATTTTAAATCGTGAAATTAATTTTTGTTTCCTCTTTTTTTTAGACATTTGTTGAGCGATCAGACAGACCCTTTCAATAGGTCGCCATTATCTATGGATCAGGTTATACCACACACGGAATTAGCAGAAGAAATTAGGAATTGGATAGCTGAAAGGAAAAGGAAAGCTAACTAGTGTTAGCTCAAGTACGATGCTGGTAAAATGTCGGACAAAGTCAAGATTTTTTTAATTAATTTGAAGCAATATGTGATGGCTTTTTGGTTTTAAATATTAATTTTCTTAATAAATCTATTGATATTTCCAATCTGGTTTTATAGCATGGCGCCGTCAACAACTATGACGTGACGCTAATGACAGGGACGTTTGACAAAGATGTCAACGTCGGTTGTCATAAAAATTTGACTTTTTCATATATTTTAATCGGTAGATCTACACTGTGTTCAAATTTATATTCTGAAGGTCATTCCTCGCTAAATATCATGTATTTTTGTCAGTTTATCTCTTGTAGCTGTTCAAATAATTGTTATTTTAAAATTTTTAATATCCGATGTATTTCCAATTTTCAATACAGTTAAAAAAATGACGTGACTGGTGATGTTTAAAAGTTTGTCTATAAGACAAACATGTATATTTGTTATTTTTATTTGAAATTGTATATTTTGAACATATTTGAAATATATCAATCTTGTTGTAAGCCGAGTTTTATTTAAAAATACGTAATTACAGTCAATGTCGTTGTAATATACACTTTGGTGTTCTTGGACCTCTTTAGGTAGAGGTAGACTAGACAGTACAACTCCACTAATAAACTAACATTAATTACCTTTAGTGGAGCAGTGTGTTGGATATGAAAGAGTGAAATTTTAAAATTACATAAAATATTTACTGAATCCATATAAGTTTATTCAGGAAATAAATGTACAAAAGCATAAGTATATTTGAACTATATCCACTGGCATAGGCAAAGAATACCTACTCAAAAAGCAAATCTCAATAAGTTTTCGTTTGTACCAAAGTAGCAATGCCCTCGAGGTAATTGAAAGTAACTAAAGGTGCGTACACACCTGAGCATTCAGATGCCGTATGAGCATTCGGATGCGGCAACGCATACCCATCTGAACATCACAGTAGTAGCGAGACACATGAGCTTCCATTCTGACTGATCATCAAAGGAAGGCAATGCGCAGTACGTGCTCAGTCTGGACAGGGAATTTGTACCGAATAGATTATAGAGTTTTCAAGGTTTATTTTGCATAAAGTGGAGTCAGGAAAAGGTTTTGCTTCTCCTGCATGTATATAATTGGCGAGATATTTTATGATCAAAATAATAAAACAGGCACTCAACTACCAGATCTCCATTTTTGTTTTAATTAAACGAGTGTTGTGACTGTACAGTTCCGTGCTCCGAATTCACTGGATCAGTAGCGAACAGTGCCTCGTGCGTCTACCATTCGTATGTACAAAATGCGCCGCACGAGGCATTCCGTTCGGCCTCGGCTTTTAGGCGGGTACAGATCTGAGCACGTACGCATATGAGGCAAGCCGAGGAAGCATGAGCATGCAGATGTGGACGGGTTTCCGAGGCGCGGCAAATTGCATCGTTGTGTGCGACGTAGGCCTCGCCCCGGTCCGTTTGTTGGCGGTATATCAAAGGGAGGCAGTGTGTAATACGTGCTTATTCTGGACAGGGAATTTGTACCATACAACACCGTACAGATTATATCGAGTTTTTAGGATTTATTTTACATGGAGTGGAACCAGGAAAACATTTTACTTCTCCTGGATTTAAATAATCAGCGTGATATCTTAAGAGAGCAAAACGCCAGTTCTATTACAACACCATAAAAAAGAATATCCTTGGCAGGAAATCGACCATCGATTCCTTTCTCTCCTTTTTTCTTTAATGTGTCGGATAAAATAATAAAACACGTACTAAACTCCGCGACGTCATCCTCATCCTTTATTTTTGTTTTAATTTTACGAATGTTCTGGGTATACGGTTGTGTGCTCCCGAATTGACTCGATCAGTGGCGAACAGCGCTTCGTGCGTTCACCATTCGTGTACACAAAAGGCGCCTTACGCGACATTCTGTCCGGCCTCGGCTTGCCTCATACCACATACTTTGATTTTCTTTTATTATACGGAGAATGGTCGCACTGCGCAGCTTTCTGAGTGCCTTTTAAAAGGAGATAGAAAACTCCACCATTTTGAACCCTTATTACGTGTTGCCTACATCTTGGCGCAATATTTTTAATAGGTGCGTTTTAATCATCCGCTTCTGCTTCGGAATTGTCGGTTTTCTTGTTTTAATCTGACAGGTTAAAACGACTAAACCGACAATTCCGGAAGCAGAAGCGGATGATTAAAACGCACCTGATATTTTGCTTGCTGCTGTCAGTGTCAGTCACGTGTCAGTGAATATTATTTTTGAAGTCACAGTTTATTGCTAAAGAATCAGTTAGCACACTCGGACCAGTTGAAAGTTCCAAAATAACATTCACTCCAGGGATACAAATTCAGGATACGCAGAAGACTGTTGTTTTATTATAGGCGGTTGTCATATATTGTATTATCCGAGTTGCACAGTGTATAAACTGAAACATTGAGATCCAAAGTGCCGACGCAGAGTGAGCGATCTGATTCTTTAGCTGTAAACTGTGTCACAGGGTTCAAAATGGCCGCGCCCTATGTTGGGCGTGTCGGACATCTCTCTTGCCTCGTATAGTCCTCATACCCATACGTGCTGCTCAGATCTGTACCTTTAGACGCACGTTGCTCAGTCATCCACATCTGAATGCTCATTCGCGCTCCTTTGCTCATTCGACCCGAATGCTTGAGTGTGTACGCGCCTTAATGCACTGGAAAACGTCTAAAATCAATTTTTGTCGTTTGGTTCATAAATATTAAACATCTAAAGTTACAATGACGAACAGAAAATTCTTACTATACTCGGACAAAATATTGGAGAAGGTGAGTCATATGCATGATCAACACTGTTGTCTATGAATATAAATTCCGACAGAGTTAGCATAGGCCGCGTATCAAATACCAAATAATTGTTTATTATTTATTAGGTATTTGTTAGTAAACTTTATTAAATTTGTTTGTCAACATCTTTATTTAAACAAAGATGATGCGTTAAATATACGTTTTTGATAGTTTTCAAGAAATGAATATATTTATTCCCTAATGACTTCGTTATCTGTGTTTAATGGTTTTAAAATGTGTTTCAAGTAAATAAACGACAGACGGGTTACAGATTGAATATTGTCAGCACAGGCACAAAGACAGTTGAAAACTAACTTTCGGCAAAATTAGATTTGTATCGCTTTAACTATTTACGATAATTATAAACACTTTTTTGGATAAGTGCTCTTTTCTAATATACGAGTAGGTGTTCATGTTTGTGCCTTACAATTTGGTAGTGGTAGTGCATATTCGAGGAGTTATATTTATTGTGTAGTATATTAGGTAGGTACTTTAAAAGTTTATTAAATAGTAAAATATTGGTTTCTAAATAAATTTAATAAAAACAATTTAATAGTAGAATTATATTGTTACAATAGTAATGGATTCAGAGGCGGATCCAAGTGAAACCCAATTACGTTGGCGAAAACCATCAAAGGATGAAAAGAACATTATATGGAAAGTGTATGATGGACACTTCCTACAAATGAAGCTGTAAACCGTTGTTCTTTTTTAACTGGGGTATCTGTTTCAACAATTGAACGTATTTTACGCGAAAAGACAAAAAAGGCTCCTTAAAGGCCCCTAAAACGCATACCCGTGGTCGAAAATTGTTGAAATTGGACGATAACCAAAAACAAATCATTCGAAGAACTGTACATTCTTTTTTTTTTTTCAAAAACAGAGCCCCAATACTTAAAGTTGTTCTTACGAAATTAAGAGAAAACCGTGAAACTTTACGAAAAATTTTATGGGACCTAAAATTTCGTTCTGTCAAATGGTGTAGGAAATCAATTTTAATTGAGAGGTCAGATATAGTGTCCTGGCGACGGCGTTATTTACGAAATAATAAAGAGTTTAGAGCCGCTAAAAAAAAGATATACCCATATCGGAAGTGACAGTGGATTTTTGAAAAATAGCACTCTTGTGTTTATATCGAAAAAAACAGGAGACTACCACGAGGACATGAATGCGGAATGCGTTGAAAAATGGTTTACTGAAGTATTACAGCGTGTAGAACGAAATTCAGTTATTGTACTAGATAACGCTTCTTATCACAGTCGACGAGTTGAACGCATTCCGATAATGTCCAGTAGGAAAGCGGATATGCAAACCTGGCTGCGGGATAAAGCAATAACATTTACTGAGAAGATGCTTAAGGAATTAATGGACCTAATAAAGGAACACCGCCATAAATATATTCAATATGTTGTCAACTCAATGGCTCGTGATCGTGGTATTACGGTACTAAGACTTCCGCCTTATCACTGCAAATTCAATCCTATTGAACTAATTTGGGTGCAAAAGTGAAAGGGTTTGTAACTCGAGAAAATAAAACTTTTAAAATAGCCGACTTTCAAAGTTTATTAAAAACCGGTATAGAACGTATAAAAACTGAAGATTGGCAGAATGCTATTTCCCATGTAATTAAGGAAGAAAATAATATGTGGCGCTTGGACGGTATGATCGAAACGGTAGTTGAACCTTTAGTCATAACTTCAAGTTCCGATGATAAAGGCGATTCCAGTGATAGTTCTGCAGAATCAATGGATTACGAACCATCATAGATTTAGAATTCAAGTAAGGGATACCAAGCTTAATTTACATATTTTTATAATAAACAAAATACAATTATAAACATAGATGAATTATTATAACAAAAATAGATAACCAACCTACTTTCATCTAGTAATATTCACAAATACCCATTTAATTTGCCAATATAGCATTTCTGCGACACTGGAAGAGTGCATTTTGATATGATAACGATACCTTTTGCAGTTTTAAGGCGCACCTTCTTCAATATTTTGTTCTAGTATAATACCCCATTTAATTTTCCAATAGTGTTTCTACGCCACTGGCATAATATTTACATATTTTAACAACAAACAAAACAAAATTATAAACATAAATGCATTAGGTGCGAAAAAATGTGGTCGAAGACCGAATAAGTGACAACGGTTTTCGATGGATTGATGATATTACTGAATATACTTATATTTGTTAATTACATTTTCATGGAGAAAGTGGTCCAACAGAAGAAAATTATTATCTGGAATTAAACAATTTTTTTTAATATTAAATTCTACTTCGATATACACAGTAATATGATTAAAAATGTCATGTTGATCCTCAAAATATTAAATAATATATTTTATTAATTATACTCATGATTAACTTTCATGTTAATTAAAGTGTTTTTGCAAGTACTAATAGTTGGTTGGCATAATTAATTAGAGTAGAGTTATAATTATTATTTGTTTTCATTAATTTTGTACACAGTTAAGAAGTATTGATACATCTAACCTCTCAATCAGTCCACTTTTTTCGTTTGTATCAAACGTCTAAGACACTTCAACCACCTTTTCAACTTCTCACAACTATGCGCTTCTACAGAGTTATGAAAAAGTTTAATCACTATCAACGATTTTTTCTAATGATTAATTTTTCTGTAGAGATAATATTGGTTTCCCATCCGTTGTCGATCAAAATAGTACGAAACTTTTGAATTACCGCTATTTCAACATGGTGGCTGCGCTTGCGCTCATCACATGATGAAAAGGTCTATTGACCTTTTCATCACATTTTTTTTTTGTGCGCATGCGTGAGTATCAGCCATCTTTTCGTACTGTTTTTTGTAAACAAGCATGTTAAAATGTCCACGTGAAAAAAATTATAATCGATAAATATTAATTTTAAGTGTATTCGTTTAAAAAATGGGATAGAAATAGTAAAGTAATAAGTGTTTTAATTGAAAAATCAATTTTGGCAATCAATTAATTATGTTATCTTTACGGAAAGGAAAACTAAACGGTATTGTTATGAGTATGTAAAAGTGACACGGTATAAATTATTATTTTATAAAAAGACTTGCCTGCAATATCGTAAAAAACTGTCAAATCATTAGGCAAAATACATATTAAAACATGTTCAAAATGAGCATTATGAGTGAAAAAATGTGATCGAAGTGACAAAGGTTTTCGATCGATTGATGGATGATGTTACTAAAGATACTTATATTTGTTCACTACATTTTCACGGAGAAAGTGGTTCAACATAAGAAAATCCTTGTCTGGTATTACAAAATATTTTTATTATTAAATACTACTTCGGTATACACAGTAATATTATTAAAAATGTCATGTTGATCCTTAAAATTTTAAATAATTTATCTTATTAATTATACTCGTGATTAACTTTCATGTTAAGGTGTTTTTGCAATTTTTAATAGTTGGTTGACATAATTAGAATAGAGTTACAATTATTATTTGTTTTCATTAATTTGATCCACAGTTAATATGTATTGAAACCTAACCTCTCAATCACCACACTTTTTTCCTTGTTACGAACGTCCACGTCACTTCAAGAACCGTTTTAATTGCTAACAACTATGTGCTTCCACAGACTTATAAAAATGTAAATCACCATCAACGATTTTTTCTAATGATTGATTTGTATGTAGAGATAATATTGCTTTTCCAGCCATTGTTGATCAAAACAGTACGAAACTTTTGAATTGGCGCTATTTCAATATGGCGGCTGCGCTTGCGCTCATCACATGATAAAAAGGCCTATTCAAAACTGCACATAGTTATCACGGACAACAGCGCTGGACAAATTAGCGTTGACTTAACATCATTGTGACAAAACAGCGCCGCGAAGAATTAACACCGTCACAAAATGGCACTGGACAAAATAAAGGCAGACAATTCAGAGCTGGACAAAAAAGCCATGACAAAAAAGGGCCAGTACAAAATGGAGATAACAAATAAAAATGTGTAGGTAAATATAAAGATACTTGAGCTTAAAAATTTATATTGGTAATTAATTAAAACAAAACATCGTCATCTTAACTACCCTGGAATTATAACTTTATATTATAAAAAATAAGTAATATTAACAACGGCAAAAGATAAAAATATTCAGGCTGTCAATTTAACAATTAAAAGACGTCTATATCAGAAAAAGATTTTCCTTTTGGATTAAAAATAAACAATATTTCAGCATATTTTCAATTTATACTGCCAAATATCTTGATGGCTTAGGCCGCACAAGGTAGGTAAAATTGGTTAAGTTTTTTTTTTTAATTTTAATTAGAATAAGTGTTGGAAAATATTTCTATTTTCGTTAATAATTTAAATTTAGCCATCTGAATTCATGTGTGGGATTAGAGCAGCCCCACTGTGATACTATCAGGTAATTTACCGTCTCAGTTCATGCATTCAATTTGTATTTATTGTTCAGCGCTTTATTGTACGGTGCTATTTTGTGTCGGAGCCTATTTGTCCCGAAGCCTATACATATAATACGGCGACCTTTTGTCTTGGCGCTGTCGCAGTGTCATTTTATCAGCGCTTATTTGTTGTGCGCTAATTTTACATTTTAACGGCGCTGTTTTGCGACAGATCTATCACGGATATAACTCATGTATCTCTGACTTTATCAGTCATGATAATTAGATAATTAGAAACATTTTTTGTGGATCACACTTTAATATTTTTAAAGATAATTGTGATAATTGACTGAACTTAAAATAATGTACTTGCAATTGGTAAGCCCTGACATGACGTGCCTATCCCTAAGAACTTTCAGTCTTTTAATCAGATGCCAAAACTACTCGGCTATGCCACTACCCAGATAATACACAGTCCAATGGACGTCCATTTTAGATTCATTGGACAGCTACGTATCATACCCAATTTTTTGACATAAGTTTAAGTTTAATACAATTTTAGTAGTAATTTGACATCTAGTGGACCAGTGGCGGTTTATCCGTAAAGGCACTTGGGGACGTGCCCTATTATAATAAACCAAAAAAAAACTTACATATTTTATATTTTCCTCAATGCCTATTATTATTTTATCTAATATTCAGCGCAAACCGCGTTGGCACGACACTGGATGACCGGGCGTTGAGCGACGTTCCGAGAATTCGGAAATTAAGTGGAAGGGCACAGAAAATGTGTGTGTCTTTGTTGTTTTGTCTCTCATTATGATGCGAAAAACAAGGACAACGACAATGTCGCTTAGCAAGAGATGAACACATGCGATAGATTATACGTCACAAGCAGGGCGCTGTCCTCATTGTGACGTGATGTACACATGGCACCGATTACCTAGACCAGATACGAATGTACGCAGCGGCATCTTTACCGGCGATGCCGGTTTCGGTTAAAGGTGCGCGTTTGTTGGACCATGATAATAATTTATTTATTGTGATTAGAAAAAATGTTAGTTGGACCATTGGAATAGTTAAGAAATAAAACTACAAAGAAAAATAAACTTTTTTTTATAAAGCAGTCAAAAATATGATGAAAAAAATCAATAATAATTATAAATGGGACAAAATTTTTCGAGGATTTCAAATCTCTGTTTGCATATTTAAGAGTATAAAAAATTCTGATTCTTATAAATAATTGAATGGTGTACATTTTCGCAAATTGTTGGCAACGATGACCAAATTCTATTTTGCTCATCTCAAAAGGTATGCGTTGGAAATTCTAGGCTTAGTTGACAAACTATCAAATAGAGATATAAATATTTTTTTTAATTTGAAAATATAAAAAAAGAAATTTTTCGCTGGGAGATTTAAATTTGCCAAACACCTTTTCTTCAGAGTAGTATGCTTTTAAATGCGTTAACAAGTTAGAATTGTTAAGTAAATTTCGCAAGAGTGGATATGTAATGATTTTTTGATTAAATAGCCACATACATAGTTAAATGCATTTTCAGTGGTCACATTTAGCTCCCTGTAGTCACATTCAGAAATCGTTATTGCTCCAACTGATTGTTTTGAAATATATTTAATTTTCATTAAGCGGAGAACTTGTTTTCCTAAGGGAAAAACGAATCCCGGGATTCCTTTCCAGTGTGTGCCCCACTGCCGCTAGTGCCCACGAGCCGCCACTGCAGTGGATATCCATCTTAGGTTACCTATTTAACCTACATTATTACAAAATTGAATCAATTGCATTTCATTCCACCAGTGCAAATTTAAAATCTTATTAACTAAAGTATTAGAACCATATCTGTCTCTGTGGTCGAAATGCGTAAAGTGACTGAAGGGGCCGAAAGTTAACCACCGTGTCGTGAGTTCGATTCCCGGTTGGATCAAGCGATTTTTAATTGAATAAAAAATAATGATGGGCTGGTTGCGACTTTATTAGTAAATTATTATTAATCTAAAATAGTGTGTGGTGAGTTGCGGTTGTGGAGGTGTAACGATATTAATGGCGCTGACCTTTGACATTACCACGTGATGTGCAAGGGGAAAGGGGTTATTTTAGTTTTTTTTTGTTTGACACGGGTGAATGGAAGTTCTTTCAGGACTGGAGCTGGCGACAGTGCTGCTATACCCCTAGTAATATCAGTTGTGTTACTAGATGTGCTAGGAAGCTACCACTGGTTTCAATATCTAATCCTATTTGTTTATGACCGACAAAGAGAAAGATTATATCGACCGTTCCCCGTACATTCGGCGAAGTTCCGAAACAAAAACAAAAAAGCCACCCTTAGCACAAGGCTAACACGGATGGATCTCCCTCTCGATCCGGCAGAGCTTGAGCAGTTGAGCAGTAAAATCCCCGAGAGCCGATATTCGCTCACTGCGATCGCACATCCAGTCCTGCTGAACGGCGCTGCGCACGCGCCATCGACGGAATGAGGAAGTGCCGTCTGCGATGAGAAGCGACTATTGCGGGGCTTCGTGCGTCGTACAAATACAAATCGCAGGCGGCGCGACCGAACCGAGCACCGGCTACTTCGATCCGGCTCTCTCTCGTCGAAAATTTACGAAAACCCCGTGATAGTGTGTTTCATATTTTGCCGGTTGGGTGCCCCGTTGGTGAAACCGAGTGTGCTGTGTGATTTCTTCAGTGTTTTTTTGGGAGATTCGGGAGTCGCTCGATAAGTTTTGCAGGTGAGTGAAGAGCCGTTGAAGGTGGCTGTGAGGATGACAGGTTGTCGCCGTCGACGAACTGTCAGGTTGTTTTGTTTTTTTGTTTACATGGCCGGATGAGTTCTGTGAAGGGTGCCTTCGTGTCTGGGACGAATTATCGGGGATTTCTCTCGCTGTTTGGATCCCTTTGAAGCTCTTGGGAGTTTTGCACAGCAGGGGTGGATGGTATAAAAAATAATTTTCGCTACTTAAGGACTTATATCCCAAAAAACTGAATGTATTTCATGACTTTTAAAATAAAAATTTGCGTTATATGTGTAAAATGGGCGACATTTTTCCGGCTGATTGAAGGACCAGATTATTTTTTAACTAAACGCTCTTGAAAGGCAAGAGGTTTTCATCCAGGCAAGCAGTTTTACCCATTGAAATTATTTGTCTTCGGAAACTGAGTTAAATGCATTATTTATTAAATACAATAAAATATAAATATAATACCTGCCATAACAAATAGTTTGTTACGCTGGTAGATACATAAAAATAAAAACCCACAGAAGGAATATATGTTTTCGCGCAAATAGAGGGTTTGTCCTTTTTCAGGAACAGCAAAAACCTGCTTAATTAGGTGCATATAAAAATCGTTCAATTGTTATTAAATTTTATCCAATTCTAGAAAATATAATAACTGTAATTGGAGTTTTGTTAAAATTAACCGTATTTTGGCTTTCGATATGAAAAATATATTTGACATGGTCAATAGAAGAAAGAAAATTTATTTAACAACCTATAGGTACCTATATCTGTTTTCGCAATAATCGTTAATTCATAAAAAACAATATAGAAAAGTCTTCAAGTAAAATTGTTTGATACCTACAAATATAGGTAATTAAAACAAAAATCTAGGTCCCTATAGGTAGGTATTAAAAAAATTAAAAAATAAGGCCAAAATGCGTACCTATATAATTTAACATCGAAAAACTTTATCATCAAAAAGGAAGGGAATCAACGTCTTGTAGTGTTCCTCTTAGAGGAAGTTACTTATATGAAAAAAAAGTTTGGAGAACTATAGTTTAGTTAGTAGACCAATTAGGTAGTAGACCAACGACATTGTTGAGGAAGCTAAATACTATAAGGTTTGTTTTCGTTTGTTTTCTGTCTGAAACTCAAACGGTCAGCTTTTGGACACAATTTGTTGGGTCATTCTAATCGTTATTTCTTTTTTTTTAATATTAACATGAGAAATCACAATTATTTATTCCATTTCTCTCAAGATTCCTCTAATAAGAAGTAATATTTCTGATAATAAAAAAAAACATCTAGGTAAATAATGAAATTGACTTCCATTAGTTTCATTTTGTTAATTTGACAACTCAACTCCCTGACTACTTGATATTTCGAAATATTTAAAAAATAAGTAGCAAACTAAAGCTGGGTTTATCAAAATCTAATCAAATCAAATATGGTAATATATTAGTGTACATACTTTGGTTGAGAAGGCCTAAATAATAGCTCACTTCTCAACCTAAGTGTATAATGTACTATTTTCTGCTCTATAGGTGGTATCTTCTAATAAAACAAATAGAAAATTAAATAAATCGCGAGCAATGTTTGAGTGACAGCCTACTTCAATTTTTTCCACGTGATACGTCACGGAACGCTTATTAGTGATGACGTAATGACAATCTGAACAGAACTATAAATATAGGAGTTATAGGTATTCCTAGTATTCCTTAACATTTTATTTCTATTATTTTCAAGATGGTATTCATTTTAAAATTAAAAATAATTTGGTTAGGTACATATTTTTAAACCACTTTTTTCTTACTTGCTAAGGGCTAAAAACGTATATGTCAAATTCACTGACTATGTTTTGCTTTTGTTAAAAGTTAATTGTCAGTGGAATACAAATCACGTCACACTAATATAGCGTATTTTGTGATATGATTAGCAATTCAGACAACTTTGTTATTCCTAATAAATATATACAACAAGTATTAAAAGTAATTTAAAAAAACCGACTTCAAAATCGTGCAGATGCCAAATTTATATGGGACCACCCCTGAGGTACCCCCTTTCTAACAAAAAAAAAAAGAATCATAGAAATCGGACAAGGTGGTACTTAAAGAATTAACACTAAAATAATATTCCGACGAATTGAGAACCTCCTCCTTTTTTTTTGAAGTCGGTTAAACATATATGGACCCAATTATTAGATTTCGACCAAAAAGAATCATTAAAATCGGACAGCTGGTTGAAGAATTATCGCGGAGCATACATAAAAAAATATATTCCGACGAATTGAGAACCTCCTCTTTCTTTGACGTCGGTTAAAAATTAGGAAAAACTCTTTTTTGCCTAGTCGAGAAAAATTGTTTGTCGAGCTAAACCGGCAATCACGCAGTTTAGATGAGTCCTCCTTGAGGAGATAAAAATTCATGGTTTAACACGTTTGAGGCAAAAGCATTAATTAAAAAACCAAAGTAAAATTTATGAAAAATAAACATTAAAGATAAAGAACGTAAAAATAGGTATGGACTGTCCAGGGACGTGTCGAGTGGGTCCACCCGCAAGACCTGTCTTGCCCTCCACCCGCAGACTTACTCAAAAAAATAAATATACAAAAAAATGTCATAAAAATTTGTATTAAAGACTAACATAAAATATAAAAAAGGGTAGGTACCATTTTCTTTGGTGATAAACTACTTTACTGTAACGATTAGATTTAGATACATACTGATTAACTAGGTATACAGTTGAGTTGGGTCGGATACAGGAAAAAAGTATCCGAGTACCGGATACGGATACTTACAATGTATCCGGATACTTCTTAGGATACTTTCACCTAAAAAGTACTCGGATACAAGTATCCGGATACTTTTTTCGGATACTTTAAATAATACTTTTACGGATACTTTTAAAGTGAGTTAAAATAATGTTTTCATACCAATAGTTATAATTATGCAATAAGATTGATTACGAGTAACAAAAAACAATAAGTACTAGGCATGAATAAATTATCGAAAATGGAAAGCGATATAACAGAAACATGAAAAAACTACTCAATAAATTGTTTATTATTTTTATTTTGTGAACATAAAACATTAAAACAAAATGAACAATAAAACATAAAGGTGCGTGTAAATAAAACGAGTCGCGCCTGAACCGCGCCAAAAACGGGCCAGTGTCGTGTCCATATAAATCTAAAGAAATAAGCTCGTTGTTGGCGCAACTTGCCCTGTTTATATAGTATGTCCCCCTAAGTTGGAATCATATGGAAAACATTTTTATTATTAATTTTAGGAAAAAAAGTTATTCTTCATAAAAAGTTCTGCATTATACGACTGATAAAATTTGATATGTGATGGTTGTATTTTAGGTTTTAGACCATGCTCGACTTTTTATAAAGAATCACTTTTTGCCCAATATTAATAATAAAAAATATTTTCATATGCCGCCAATTTACGTATACAGTTGGTGGCATAGGAAATCTTTTTTATTACTAATTTTAGGAAAAAAAGTTGTTCTTTATAAAAAGTCGAGCATAGTCTAAAACCTAAAATACAACCATCAAATATCAAATTTTATCAGTCGTATAAAGAATAAAGGTACTTTACTCTTGAGTAAAACTCATATTTTTTGACAAACCTCGTATATCACTGAAAAAATTGGATATTTGATGACTGTATTCTAGGTTTTAAATAATGCAGAACTTTTTAAGAAGAATAACTTTTTTTCCTAAAATTAATAATAAAAAAGTTATCCATGATTCTAACTTAGGGGGACATACTGTATAACCTTTCGATATTCTTGTCAGTGTCAGATGTATTCGACAATCCATTTTTTGTGGATCCTTCGACGAGCGGTACTTGGTAGAGCCGAGAGCGTCGAAAGGAGGAGGAGTGAGAGATTACTGAATATTTCGTTCATTCGTTCTGGCATAGGCAAAGCCAGGCTCGTATATTTGATCTTGTCAGATCTTTATACTTTATTGATGTTGATGACGACATAAATAACACATGATCAGTAACATTATGAGCAACAACCGTCATATATATGTACGAGTACATTATAACACAGTGTTGATTCGGTGAGGACGCACTTTTAAGGTGCGTCCTCGCCGAATCAACACTGTCGATCGACGTTGTCGACTGTGTGTACACGGCAATCGACGGTGTCGATCGACAAAATAAATCGATCGACATGTCGATTTGTTTTCCATGGCCTGTCGGTAAACATGAAAGAGCAGTCGGTCGACTTTAGTGTGTGGACGTGTTTTCGACGTTCGACATTCGACAAACTGTTAGTACTGAGTACTAAGTACTCAGTAACGTCTTGCTCCGTTATGGGAATGGCAGGTCTATAATTGATGTCTTCTTTACAAATGTTTGGCCGATTTCTAGTAATAAATATTCAAATTCACTTTCCGAAATTCGAAAAAAAATTCTAAAACCACCATTACACCTGTATATAAGGTTCAATATGTTGACGTCATCTTTTTTTTAAATCTTCTATCAAATTACTAGCGTTGTATCTAGTTCTAGTTTAAAGACTTGGTTGAACCCAAAATCTTCTTTTTCGTGCAAGTTTTCTTTTTTTAGTCGCGATAATAATATATGCGGCACAAGCAACTATAATGTCATCTTCGTCAGACATTTTAATTTCGACTGATCGATAAATATTTCTGTCAACTCTGGTGTGGACAAATGTAGTTTTGTAGACTTGTTGATCAACCATGTCGATAGACAGAGTCGATCGGCAGTGTTGATTCGGTGAGGACGTTCCTTTAGACACAATTGCAATATTGTGTCTTAAATATTGTAATATTGAAAAATACGTATTTTATTTCTAATTATACAGGTTAGCTCAAAGTATTTCGATTATATATGTTCATAGAGATAATATGGATTGGATCAGTTACGATTGTGTTAAATAATTTAAAAGTATCCGAATGCCGAAAAAAGTATCCGGTATCGGGATACTTACAAATTTGCTCACGGATACGGATACCGGATACAAATTTGAAA